ATACAAAAAATCATGTTTCTTAAAAATTTTAATTTGAAAATTCTTTAGAAACGCGTTTCTATTTTAGAAACACGCATTTCTATTTTGAAAAGAAGATAAAAACTAATTTCTTGTTTTTATAGAACAAATAAATAATTATAAAAATTAAATTAAATAATCAATTTACTTATTTATAGTAAATAATAAATATTTTTATTTGGTAATTAAGATTAATTTTGAGATTAATAAATTTGAAAATTATTCTCTGGATGAATTAGAATTAGAGATAAATTGGTTAATGAAACTAATAAAATTAATAATAAAGAAAATCTTCTAAATTTTTGATTTTACATATTTTAATTTTTATAGTTTAATAATTATGTAAAAATTATATATTAGATTTTGTTGATTAAATATTATACTTATAATTAGATCTTTAATACTTAATATATATATATATATACGTTTCCAAAACGTTTCCATTTCTATATTTTTTTAAAATAGCGTTTCTGTGTTTCGAAATATTCCGCTTCCACGTACCCGTTTCCGTTTCCATGCAACATAGCTTATACATGCAACAAGAATGGGTATTCTACCCATTACCAGTGGCGAAAGCAAATAATTTTAATTCTTAATTAGAGAAAAATAAACATCTTATCTCAAAATAGGCAATACTTATCAACACATAACCGTTACATTTGTTTTTTTGTTTAACTAAGATAAATAATTAATATCACAAAAACATTGCGTCTGTGAAGAGAATCTTTACCAAATTAATTGAACTTGGTTGGATTATGAATCGGGAAAATTTAAAAGAAATGGTTTACGTATGTCTTTAGAGATTCCCCAAATGAGAAAGGAGACGAACGACGAAAGCATGTGAGTTTCAACTTTCAACGTCTTGTCCTAATTGGGATTCCGATAAGGACACGTGTAAGTAACCCACATCCTGTATGTCAGTAAAAGATGAAAGACACATAGACGAAAAAAACATATGGAAATAAAATGTAGTCTCTATATGAAATATATGATGCTTTGAGACAGAAACACTCTGTATATAACATTAAAAAAAAATCCTTTAACCCCAAAAAAGTATAACGTTAAAAAGTGAAATATATTTCCTTTTTATCATACCATGTGGAAAGTAGATATCGACACGATAGTTGGCCTAATTACGAGGTTTTCGACTAATCAACCGATCATCAAATAAGATTAATAAGTTATGTTTTTGATTTGTTAATACATTCGTCAATATATAAAAAGATAGACTAATCATATTTGTTTGGGCTACATATAAACGTTTGTATAACTGTATAAAGGTAATCGGAAACCAAAAATAATACTAGGAAAAATTACACAGAGTTCAATTTATTAATATATTTTAACGTAAAGTATTATTTTTTCTGTATGAACGTATAAAACAAAGAGCCAAATTGCTGATGAGAATTTAAAAGTAATATAAAGATGAAATTATATATGATTAGTTTCTTTTTTTCGTTTTTTAATAACGCTAAAAAGCTTCTTACTTTTTGAACCCTTTAATTGTTCTTTAGGCAAATTTGATTTTTACCTATTCTATTTCGAGACATTTTCTTACTCGTTAAGCCATGAGGAACCTATGTTATACACAAAGTAGTCAGCTAGTGCTATTTAGTTTTTACAACAAGCCAACAAGCTTTCATAAATTGAACGAATATCCAGAGATTTAGAATATATACTTATATATATTATTTGTTAAACGATTCATAATCATTTTTATCTTTGATATCATCTCACATTCTCATTTTTAACTACGGCCAGTTTTATGAGTGCATTACAGTTGAGTTTAAATAATGATCTGGCTAAACCAATATTCATTTGAATAAATTTAGTTGAAGTTCCATTTAGTTTAATTTCAAACTTAAGAAAATCTCAATTAACATCGAACAGATCCAATTAAATTTAAAACTAATAAGACTTCAACTCAGTTTTTGAATCATGAAATCGAAAGTCCCAATAAAAGCATGATTTAAGCACCCTTATTCGAAATGATATATAGGTTAAACAAAGGTAAAATTTATAGTTATACTTATATATAAACTAATAGCTACTCTATATATGTGGTTCATAAAGAGTGCCATTCTACTATTTGTCACACATATTAAGAATATTATTAAAAATCAATTTTATTACTTTATAAATACACTAAAAACAATTTATTTCTAACTAATACACTAAAATAATAAGGTTAAAACTGAATTTTTATTAACAAAATTATACTGAAAATATAAAGTGACACTCTTTGTAAAACAAAGACAAATCATTAAAATGACACAGAGAGAATAATAAACTGAATATATATTTTGTAAGACAATAAAACAATCACATTTACTAATTTATCAAAAGGAAAAAAAATTGATAGAACTTACTATTAGATAGATCAATTGTCAAGATTATGCCGACACTCGCACGCTTTTGTTCCATGTTTCCTTGCATCCATACTTTTTTTTTCTTTTTCAAAATGTGCTTGACTTCTGGAACTTATTATTGAAAATACACTATTCTGTTAATTCATGCCAATATTATTATTATAAACATTATTAAAACGTAGGATTATAATTAGCCTCAGTTCAAACTTCGAATTTACAAATTAAATGTCACTTGAGTATATTTTGTAATGGCATATATAATGTTTATCAAGCAACTAATCTACTCAAATAGAAAAATCAAACCCGGCTTTCATAAGAACTGATCTTGCTTTCATGTAATCGGCCCTACTTAAATATACACTTCTTATTCGAACCATATTTTATCTCGTCCTATTTCCTTGATTAAGAGATGGATCACATTGCTACACAATCTTTACGACTAAACCTATTAATTATATGATTAAAAAATAATTGTATGGTCAAACATTACTGACGTGGCATCGAAGTCATATGCTTTCCAAATATACACATTCACATACATATTTTTATATTGTCTCTCTCCTTTATCTTTGCCTCTTTCGAGCTCCAACCTGTCCCTCTGCATTCCATAACGCAATTAGGTGCTTTAACCACATGGTTAGCAACTAAACAAATCTTATCATTAGCACATTAATCTATATATTATACATTTTCATAAATGGGTCTAGCGGTTTAGGAAACGTGTTTCCATAGATCTGTTGACAAGTACACTGTTGTAGGTAATGATTCTATATGACCAGCTAAATTAAAAGAAGGTGGATTTCTAGATAGCTCTTAAGTTGTTGGTTATAGTCCCAGATCTGTTTAGGAAGTGAATAAATATTAAATTTATTAATTGTTTATATTAATTAGTACTAATATTATGATATTCTTTCTATTTTTGTCCATGCAGCCTTTAAGGCGATCTTGTCTAACTTCGTGGTGGTCCAAGGTACATGGCACAACATAGATGTATTATTATATTTATATACCAATAGATTAATAATTTCTTTTAAAAAATCAAAATAGTTATTTATTTAACTAATAAATAATTAATTGTTTAGCCAGTGAATTAAAATATTTGTTCAAGAAGCAACCAGTAAGATCTATATTAGCTGTAAAATAAACAACTTAGACCTATAATTAGTTTGCTTTGCATGCCATCAATTACTAAATGCAGTAGTGTTGGAAATTTCAATCACCTAAACCAATTACTCGAGTTTGATCCTCTCACCCATATTAAAAAATTGTGCAATTGAAACTTTTTTTTTTTTTGTAACAATTGATTTATAGTTTTCCAGGCACCTATTTGCATCTCTAGAATCTAGATGGTTATAGAACCGACGACTTTTGTAATGTTTTAGGCTTATTTGAATAGGATAAACGATAGAATTCTAGTTTAAATGGTTAATCACGCCACGAAATAAATCAATAAGAAAGCACCATCATATATATTAATTGCGAAAGTGTGACAATTAATATTCTGGTTATTATAATTGATAACAATTGGAAAAGTATAATATTCTTATAGCCATCTTCTTGTTTCCATGCTTATTCATCCCAGTTGGATAGCTTACACAGTGGATTGCTTCTCATGGGGGTAATAATGTATATACTTTTGGAAATCTTTTGGAACATTAGAACTTTGACCTCGCTCAGTTGTTAATGGATATTCTATTGAATGCATGAAAATAAAGCCCAACCCATTCCTCGTTTGTTTTTGACAACAACAAAACACTAGAAGAACCATAAATTGAGCAAATAGTTGAACCCTAACCAGAAGAAAACCAAAAAGTTCGTTGAGGAATTCTGGAATTATATCACTTTAAAAGCATGAGTTTTATACTGTTATTCATACTATAATATTAAAATAAAAGTTTCATAATTTTAGTAAAAAAAATAACAAGTATCTTTATCAATCCGTTGTATATTTTACATTTTAATATCTCAAAATAAACATGATCATTTAGTTTTTTTTTTTTTTTCCTTTTGTTACTTTAAATTTCGTTAGGGGTGTAATTCAAAATCCGGCCAGCTGATCTTGGAAACTTGACTTGCGAGTCGCGAGCATACTCATCTGCATTTAGAAGAATCCGTGATGAGTTGGACCAAGCCCGTTTTGCTTTGAATCCCATTATGGCCGAACAAAGTCCTTTTGTTTTCCGAATCAGCTGCATGAAGAATTATAGCTCGCGCTATGAATTTTATAATGAAAGCCGAAACAGAACTAATGATTAATGGTCTAATATTAGTACTTTGTAGTAGATTATAGTTAATAGCGCGGAGTCTTTGTGGTGAAGCAGTACTGAATATTCCTATTGTGGATATCGAATTTTACTATTTACATACTTTGCTTTTGTAACTAATTTCAGTTTTAAAGCTATAAAACAATTTATATGAGAAGAAGACACGTATGCATGGCTGCATCCTGCATCTGCATGGCACATGTCGTCATCAGTCACTATTCGTGTGAACGGAAGTGTGAAGCAGTAATGGACTCCTTTGTTATTTCTGGACAAATCTGGAAAACATCGGGACACGTAGATTCCCTTCTGTTCTTTGCCTACAAAGCTAGGCCTCAGTACAAAAGTAAACATGCTCGTTAGTCGGTGTTTTTTTTTTTTGAACATTTGCTTTCGTTAGTCGGTATTAGGTCTCGTTAACAGAAAGTTTTGGTCTTAGGTCTTATGCGTAAACATTTTCATGCATGCATGTCACTTGTCAATGACCCATATCGAATACAATCCACGTTCTTTTGTTTTTCAGATAAGGATAGTATATCAACTGATATATTCATAAAAACGAACTTATTCTCATTATTCGTCCATTAAAAAAGAATAATAAATACTCCATATATCATATGAGCCAGTGTATATATAAAGTCTATGGTCATGCATATGCACTGCCATTTAATTACAACCAAGAAACATCTTCTTATACAAGGACAGGTAAGTGGTCAAGGATCTCACGTAAATGATACCATTTTATTATAACATTCTTTCGATTCGTAATCATTTGAACAAAAACTTATATATGCTGTAAAATTGATTAGATCATGGGCCAGCCTCACGCGCTTCTAGTCGCTAGCCCTGGCATAGGCCACCTCATCCCCATCCTCGAACTCGGCAACCGTATCTCCTCCGTCCTCAACGTCCACGTCACCATTCTCGCCGTCACCGCCGGCTCCTTTTCCCCAACAGAAACCAGAGCCATTGAAGCAGCCGTGGATAGAGGGACATGTGAAATCACGGAATTACCCTCGGTTGATGTAGACCACCTCGTGGAGCCAGATGCGACGGTGATCACTAAAATCGTAGAGATGATGCGAGCCACGAAGCCTGCGATTCGAGACGCCGTGAAATCAATGAATCGAAAACCTACGGTCATGATCGTTGACTTTTTTGGTACAGGGTTGATGAACGTTGCTGAGGATGTCGGCGTGAGGGCTAAGTACGTGTATGTTCCTTCGCACGCATGGTTCTTGGCAGTTATGGTCTACTTACCGGTATTGGATAAAGTTGTGGAAGGGGAATACATTGACATCAAAGAGCCTATGCAAATACCGGGTTGTAGACCGGTCGGACCGGAGGAGCTTATGGAAACAATGTTAGACCGGTCGGACAGAAAGTACCGGGACTGTGTACAACGTGGGGAGGATATACCTATGAGCGATGGCGTGTTGGTCAATACATGGGAGGAGTTGCAAGAAAACACTCTAGCCGCGCTTAGGGAGGTTGGAGAATTGCGCCGTATTATTAAAGTACCGGTTTATCCTATTGGGCCTATTGTTAGAACTAATGGGCCTACTGTTAGATCTAATGGGTCTATTGTCAGGTGTAATGGGTCAGGTGAAAAGTCCAATAGTATATTCCAGTGGTTAGACAAGCAACAAGAAAAGTCAGTTGTGTATGTGTGTTTAGGGAGTGGTGGAACGTTGTCGATAGAGCAAACAAAGGAACTCGCAAATGGTTTAGAGTTAAGTGGTCAAAAGTTCCTATGGGTTCTACGCCGGCCCATTTCTTACCTCGGGGCGAGCTCGAGCGATGGTGATATTATAAGTGCCGGTTTACCAGAAGGTTTCTTGAACCGCACGCGTGGTGTGGGTCTTGTGGTCACACAATGGGCACCACAAGTTGAGATCTTGGGCCATAGATCGATCGGTGGGTTCTTGTCTCATTGCGGTTGGAGCTCAGTGTTAGAGAGTTTGACTAAAGGAGTTCCAATCGTGGCTTGGCCTCTTTATGCGGAGCAATGGATGAATGCCACGTTGCTGACTGAGGAGATGGGTGTGGCCATTCGTACGTCGGAGTTACCGTCAAAGAGAGTGATCGGCCGGGAAGAAGTTGCGTCTTTGGTGAGAAAGATTGTAGCAGAAGAGGATGAAGAAGGACAGAAGATAAGGGATAAAGCTGAGGAAGCGAGGGTTAGCTCAGAACGAGCTTGGGCTCAAGGTGGGTCGTCTCATAGCTCTCTCTTCGAATGGGCAAAAGGATGTGGTCTTGTGTCGTGTGATCCGTAAATAGTATAGTGTTTTATAAATTAAATTTACTTTTGATGATATAGTTTTTTTTAAAATGTGCTTACCACGTGTTCTTAAAATTAAGTACTTATTAATGTAATTTTTTTTTTTTTTTTTAAATAGGATGCAAAATTTTTTTTCGAGAAACTCAAATGTGGCTTGCAAAAACCTTAATTCAAAAAGTTATGGTCTAATGATGGATAATTTGCTAAGCTTTACTGAATATTATTTTGTGGAACCAATTTTACTATTTACATATTCTGATTTTGTAACTTATTTTTATGCAGTACTAAATACAAGAAACCTTATAATTTTTTATATACATTGAGATTAGGTGGGGCATATACGAGAAAATGATAAGATTTTATGGAAACAGAACGAAAACTAGTATTCAAGATTAACAACATTTATACCATTTTAGACTAATTTCAAATTCGAGATGGAATGAAAAATATATATCAGGATAGGATGGGAACATAAAATTTATATTTTTATTCAAAAAAACTTGGATAAACATACCAATGTATAACTATGGTGTTTTGAAACGAATTATAAATGTTTGGACATGATGCATACATATATGAAGAATCTTTAAATAGTTTTGTGTATATAACTTAATTAATAAATATTAATTAGTCCTTGTTTTGTGTCGTGCGGTGCACAAGTCGTCATCAATCCGATTATAAGAAGACATGTACGCATGCATGACTGCATCCTGCATGCACAAGTCGTCATCAATCACGGTTCGTAATGGATTCTTTTATCAATTCTGGACAAACCTTTTTTGTTCTTTGCCCACAAAGTTAGGCCTCAGCACTTAAAGTAGGCATGCTTGTTAGGTCTTGTTAACATAACGTTTCGTCTTATGCGTAATAATTACCATCATGTCACTTGTCAATGACCCATATCGAATACAATCCACGTTTATTTTTATTATTAAACGAACTTATTCTAATTATTTATCCCTTTAAAAGCAATAATAAATACTCCATATGAGGCAGTGTATATATAAATATTCCATGGTCTTATCCCAATTTATGCACTGCCACTTATAACCAAGAAACCTCTTCTTGTACAAGGGCAGGTAAGTGGTCGAGGATCTCACGTAAATTATACCCTTTTTCTCTAACATTCTTTCGATTCATAATCATTTTAACAAAAACTTTTATATGTTGTAACACTGACTAGATCATGGACCAGCCTCACGCGCTCCTAGTCGCTAGCCCTGGCTTAGGCCACCTCATTCCAATCCTCGAACTCGGCAACCGTCTCTCATCCGTCCTCAACGTCCAAGTCACTATTCTCGCCGTCACGGCCGGCTCCTCTTCCCCAATAGAAACCACAGCGATACAAGCAGCTGTGGCTAAAGGTACATGTGAAATCATGGAATTGCCCTTGGTTGATATAGACCACCTCGTTGAGCCAGATGCGAAGGTAGTCACTAAAATTGTAGTGAAGATGCGAGCCATGAAGCCTGCGTTACGAGACGCCGTAAAATCAATGAACCGAAAACCGACGGTCATGATCGTTGACTTCTTTGGTACCGGGTTGATGTCCGTTGCCGAGGATGTCGGCGTGAGGGATAAGTACGTGTACATCCCTTCGCAGGCATGGTTCTTAGCACTGATGGTGTACTTGCCGGTATTGGATAAGGTTGTGGAAGGGGAATACGTTGATATCAAAGAGCCTATGAAAATACCAGGTTGTAGACCGGTTGGACCGGACGAGCTTATGGATCCAATGCTAGACCGATCGAACCGACAGTACCGGGAGTGTGTACAGTGTGGGGAGGAGATATCTATGAGCGATGGCGTGTTGGTCAATACATGGGAGGAGTTACAAGGAAACACTCTAGCCGCTCTTAGAAAGGCTGAAGAATTGGGCCGTGTTATTAGAGTACCCGTTTATCCTATTGGGCCTATTGTTAGGACTAGTGTGCATACTGAAAAGACCAATAGTATATTTGAGTGGTTAGACAAGCAACAAGAAAAGTCAGTTGTGTATGTGTGTCTAGGAAGTGGTGGAACGTTGTCGTTAGAGCAAACAATGGAACTCGCTTGTGGTTTAGAGTTAAGTGGTCAAAAGTTCTTATGGGTTCTACGCAGGCCTAATTCTTACCTCGGGTCGAGCTCGAGCGATGATGATCTGGTAAGTACCTGTTTACCTGAAGGTTTCTTGGACCGCACGCGTGGTGTGGGTCTAGTGGTCACGCAATGGGCACCACAAGTTGAGATCTTGAGCCATGGATCGATCGGTGGGTTCTTGTCTCATTGCGGCTGGAGCTCAGCGTTAGAGAGTTTGACTAAAGGAGTTCCGATCGTGGCTTGGCCTCTTTATGCGGAGCAATGGATGAATGCCACGTTGCTGACTGAGGAGATCGGTGTGGCCATTCGTACGTCAGAGTTACCGGCAAAGAGAGTGATCGGCCGGGAAGAAGTTGCGTCTTTGGTGAGAAAAATTGTAGCAGAAGAGGATGAGGAAGGACAGAAGATAAGGGATAAAGCTGAGCAAGTGAGGGTTAGCTCAGAACGAGCTTGGGCTCAAGGTGGGTCGTCTCATAGCTCTCTCTTCGAATGGGCAAAAGGATGTAGTCTTGTGTCGTGTGCTCCGTAAATATATAGTGTTTTCTAAATTAAAGTTACTTTTTGATATATAATATGGTTTATTTAAGAGGCTTGCTAACCAATGTATCAATAAAATTATTTGCTTATGAATGAAACTGAAGTATTAAGAAATTGTCATATGATATTTGAAAGAAACTGAACTCCAAGAGACATGGTAAGCAAGCCTTATAAGTTACATGTCTTGGAAACTGAAGTATTAAGAAATTATCATGGGTTCGGTGCCATGGACTGCAATAGTTTTCTTCACAATGGTGTCACGTTTTAAGCTCCCTTGAATGTAGAAAATTGACACATTCAATGTACATTTTTTCTTAACCCGTTCCCTTAAAAATAATGACCATTCTAGCCATTCATATTGTTAATACTACTACATATTACAGAAATAATTTCAGGTTAGATTGACCGGACTTATCTTAGGTCGGACCGATTGGGCTATTTTTTGCTGGATCAATTTCATTCGTGTGTTGTGAGCTTTGATACCATATTAAGTTGTACATTCTTCCAACTCAATATCAAAAGCCAACAAAACAAACCAAACATTGTCAATAATTTTAGCTAAAAAAATATGAGAAAATCAATATGTATCTAATCAACAATGGATGTAAAAAAAAAAAACTAATCAATAATGCTCCTATCAAGTTAAACTACAAAACTATGCTCTTAGTTCTTTAGAAAAAAGGAAAAATTAGAAATAAAGGATGTTTTTACTGTCAGTTTGTCTATCTACACCTTTATTTTTGTTGGTATAATTATGTCTGAATTACCCTTACAAAAATATTTTTCAATAACTAAATTCGTTTTAAAAGTTATTTTTAATATCGATTTAAATACTAGAAAAGAAAAAACAAATATTTAAGGAAAAAAGAAAATTATATTATTCCATAATCGTAACAAGAAAATATTTACAAAATCTTTTTCGATATGTTCTACGAGCTTCAGAATGTTTGTTCTGCGCATTCTCTATGATCTGCAAGTTTTAGAATGTCTCTTCTGCAGTTTCTATATGTTCTGCGATTTTGAATAATATATGTTATGCATAATATACATGTTCTGCGAAGTTTAGAACATATATTCTGCCTATTTTGGATAATAACTGAATCAGGCATTTGGGCAATTCATCTTCTATACCTACAAAACGTAAAACATGAAAACATTGTAAAAAGACAGATTTTTAAACTAATTATTTCAACCTAAAATCCCTTCAAAATCAATACCCAGCCAATTTGTGAAACAAAATTAATGTTCAGTATTTTCTATTACATTGAGCTGCAAACAACAAATCTGACAACTGCTTATTTCAAAATTTTCTGGAAAGCTAAGTAAAATATGAGAAAAAAGACAGAGCAGATTAAATGATTTTACTACCATAACTCTCTAATTTTCCAATTCATGCCGTGAACCATCACAATAAGGAAATCAATCTGCAATAATAACATCACGATATATATTTTATTGTACATTTTTTGTGTGGACAAAATTTGGTGAGAATACAGAGAAGATCGATTACCTTATTTGGCGTTGACGGAGAAATTGGTTTAAGAAAAAGAGTTAATGAGTAATAAGAGAGCAAGTTTTCTGAAGAAGAGAAATAATGATTTTGATGAAGAACAAAATTGATTTTATTAAGGAAAAAAGTCAATTATTGCAGAGAGAACAGTTGGTGAAGAAAAAAAGATCGGGAAAATCGGCTAAGAAAAAAAATGTTTGAGAAACTGCGGAGAGAACGATAAAGAAAGAAGGAAAGTATTTATGTTTTTTAGTTTTTGAATGACTTATTTCTATTATTAATAACTATATAAAATTTAATAATTAGAGAGCATAATCGATTTTCAATTAATCTAAGGTATATTTCACCAATAATTGGTTAAAAAAGTATAAATGGACAAACTAATAGTAAAAACATCATTTATTTCTAATTTTCCCTAGTAAAAATCATGTTTTAATGATTTATTCATAATCAGACGGCAGCTTTGAGTGAGATATTCACCACTGGACACGCAATAGGATATTAGTCGGAAAAAACATTGGTTATAGTAAAAGTAGATGACCCAATTTGATAGTTAAGAATTTCTGGAAAAAAAATAAAAATCTGAAAAATGGGTATACACAGTAAAAAAGTTTTTAAAATCTTATATTGTTATATATGGTTGTTAATTCCTTACAGGTTAATTCCATTTCTAAAAGTAAATCTTTACAGAGGATTCTTATTGACCACAAGGTCTGATTTCCAAAAACAACTAGATGAGGATAATATTTTTATGGACTTTTATATGGTTTTACTTTTAAGAAACCAACTCCAAATCTCCAACACATCGAGAATTGCCGATCTTCTATTCACCTGCCGTCTACATACTAAAGCCATGAACATCAAGTTAGCAGCTACTTTCACTTTTCTTCTTCTTCTCTTCTTTGATTATGAATCAATTTCGACTCACTTCTGTAGTATTGAAACCACTATTTGTATCTTTTTATCATGTCTATTGATAATTTCTTTTGTCACCTTAGTCTCTACATTTCAGTTTACAAAAGTCATTTTGAAAAGTCGATATTCGTCATGGGTCTTTGCATTTCATCTTTAGTTCTTCTATTTTCTAGTTTCATATTAAAAATAAAAAAAATAAACCACATGTTTCTCTTGTTTTTGAAGATCATTTCATAATACATTTTATTAATATGTCTTACAGTAATTTTGTGTGTGTTTCTATAGATCAGGAAAACTTTATGGGATCTCCATTTCTCTCATTATCATCAACTTAGCCACAATGATGCAACGAGCAGACGAAAAACTCATTCCTTCGGTTGCCAAAGAATTAAAAGAAACGTTCAATGCAAACCTCTCTGATATTGGATACCTCTTATTTATAAGAAACATTGTTCAAGGACTTGCCTCGCCTTTAGCTGGTTTATTTGTCATTAGTTATGACCGTCCAACAGTTTTCACAATCGGTTGTTTATGTTGGGTCCTATCAACTGTTGCAGTTGGAGCAAGCCACGTCTTCATCCAGGTTTTATTCCATTTACATATATATGGTTTTGGAATGTTTTTATATTTGTTATATATATTGTTTTGAAGGATTTTTTTTTTCTAGTACAACAGTATGAGCTTTTTCACCGAAGTTTATAATCTTTCAACATGACTGCCTTTCAGTTTTAAAAGTCTCTGAAAAACAAATTATGATATTTTAATTATACATAAAATATCACAAAAATGAAAATATATCAGTACCAAAGTTAAGACACTAATGTCTTTAGCTAAAATAAAGTCATATGAACATAACATTGAATTTTTTTCTTTTTAAGTTTTTTTTCTTCTTATCAATATCATGCACTATAATACTATATAGATATTTGATTTAGGATAGTGACACATACACTAGCATATACTAATAAGTTATGGCTTGGTCAGACTATTAAGTTATAAAATATTATGAAAGTCATAAACAACGATTTTGGAAACGTGTAATCCAACACGACCCTGAAAACATGTATAATGATTAAAATGTTATACATATGTTTGATTGGGATTTGATATTGTTTCTTGGACTTAGGTTACCCTTGGGGCAGCAGTCAATGGGTTTGGACATGCAATTGTTTATCCAGTGCTTCAGTCGATAATTGCTGATAGCTTTAAGGATAGTGCAAGAGGTTTTGGATTTGGTTTATGGAATCTCACTGGTACGGTCGGGGCTATAGGTGGAACCGTCGTGGCAACGGTCATGGCTGGTCATGATTTCATGGGGATCCCAGGATGGCGCTGCGCCTTTATGTTGATTGCAACAACGAGTGCGATGGTTGGGATTCTTGTTTATCTCTTTGCCACCGACCCGAGGAAAAAGAAAAATAGCAGCTTCGTTTCTCATGATTATGAACGGTAATATAAACTTCTACATTCTTGAATAGAGCAGTAATATGTTCTTTTTTTTTTAAACTATTTTTTTAGTTTTGAGTTAGTCATGCGATTTTGTAGAAATGAACTTATGCTTCACAAAGGGAAGAACTATGATGCTGCAACAATGGAGAATACGAGCTCAATTATGATGGAATCGTTGGTGGCCATAAAAGATGTAACCAAACTACAAACATTTCAGATCATCGTATTACAGGGAATCGTCGGTTTGGTGCCATGGAATGCAATGGTTTTCTGGTCAATGTGGTTTGAACTCATTGGTACGCATCCATTCTCATAATTTTCACTAAAAGGAATTGAACTAAAAACACCTAAAACTAAATGATGGTTCATCAAATCATTAAGCCCCTTTAAGTCTAACCAAACCACAAACTTGATTACAATTAACCCAAATGATAGGAGAGCTTATTATAATTACTAGATGAGTATCCGCGCGATGCGCAGATTTTTGTTCATAATATAATTTATTAAAAGGTGTATTTACAATTTATTTTATCGTATAATTTAAAATATTTAAATGATATTGTGTATTTGAATAAACATACAATACCTATTTATATATTATGTGGATATTAACTATATATGTGATCAATGGTTTATTGATAAGAAAATGTGAAATATATTATACATTGTATAAATAGAATATATTAAATGAATATAGTACAAATCAGAGAAGTACTATATAACAAAAATTAATTAGAGAAACTCTTCAAGCACAACATAGATATAGACGACTCTTTTTAACATGTCGTACTTGTTCACGGCGTAGATTTACACAATAACAATGTCGTGGTTTTATATTTTTATGAGCTTAAATAATTGATTTATAATTCTAATTTATATATTTGCATTAAATATTTTATAAATATATATATTAGGACTTTGATATCTTATTAATTTTAAAATTATTAATGGATCGGGTTTGAATAAAATAAATTATCAAATAATTATTAGTTTATAAAAAAATTGTTTTAAAGTTTATTATAATATTATATAAATTTTTCTTCTAACTTTTTAAGGTTCAAAATATAAAATAATTGCTATTTTTATATTTGTATAATTGATTTTATAATAATATCCTATAATATTAATTAAAAATAAGAAAACACTTTTACATATAAAACATAAATTTTGTTAATATTTTTTAAAAACTACCACAAAATAGATATTCAATAATTATTTTTGGATATTATGTATATATTGTTATTAAAATATATTATCTAATTCTTCATATTTTTCACATTCTTTTAGTATTATGATTAATAATACATTAAATTTATGCATTAACTGTATTTTACATAATTTGTATTATTATATTTTAAAAAATGACACATGTCATTTCTACAATAAACCAAAATGATGAGGTAGCACTCATATGGAGATAGTTGGCCATCTTTTATAGTATTGATTTTTTTCTTTTAACAATTTATCTAATTGAAATCATGTCATTTTCCAAAACAGTGTTCAATAGCAAATTTTAACCAAAAATGAGAAAACATAAATAAATATTATACATATAAATATTTTTGTGAACAAAACCGAAGCCAATGATCAACCAGACCAAAGTTAAATAATCTTGAACCGTAGGAACCAAAACAAAGAAAATGTTTTATTTTTTATTTTTCAGGTTTTGATCATAATCAGACGGCAGCACTAAGCGGGATATTCACCGCCGGACAAGCAATAGGATCTTTGGTCGGGGGAATAGTTGCTGACAAAATGTCTCATATATTTCCAAACTCAGGCAGAGTGATGTGTGCACAATTCAGCGTTTTCATGGGAGCTATATTCTCCATTATCCTTCTGAAACTAATCCCACAGTCCATCGACAGTTATTACATCTTCATGGTCACTCTCTTTCTAATGGGTCTCACCATAACTTGGTGTGGACCAGCCATTAACTCTCCAATCTTAGCTGAGATTGTTCCTCCTAAGCATCGAACCATGATCTATGCCTTTGACCGTGCACTCGAAGTTTCTTTTTCATCATTTGGTGCTCCTTTGGTTGGGATTATGTCAGAGAAATATTTTGGGTTTGATGCAAAAGGAATTGATAATATTAAAGACTATGGTCGTGAGGCCGAGGCGTTGTCGAAGGGGATCATGTGGATGATGGCTGTTCCGTTTGGATTGTGTTGTCTTTGCTACACACCGTTACATTTTATTTTTCGAAAAGATAAGAAAATTGATAGTTCAAAGGACGTAGAAATGATATGAGAGGTTATTATCCTACATATGTATCCGTAATGAAGATCGATGAAAATATGATCAGAATAATTTAATGTATCAAAGAAGATTGATAAGGGACACATGTTACAATAATATTATGAGTATTATTTGATTTGGTACCTATGGCATATTAGTAAATATTTTACATTTACATGTAGGCGTAGACATTAAAAATAAAAGCTGAAATTCTGCATGGTCCAACCCTGGAAAAGATAAGGTTCTAATAACATGTAGTGTTCTTAAACATCCTCATAACTTCAATGGCGTCAAAAATCTATATTTGATATTGGTAATCATGTTTTAAAATAAAAATTAGAATCGTGTTCCTCCCCAAAGATATAAAAACATCACAATAACTTCATTCGAAACGTCTAGTTTTTACACATTAAAATTTGAATTTTTTTCACTCCCTTTGTATATAAATATATTGATGATGATCTTAGATTCGTTAGTGTGGTTATTAATTTTAACTCCACTATCTAAACTTAAAATGTTTTATATACCCTTTATCTTTCCAAGTTTTATTAGTTGTGAGTCATATTTAATTGAGATTTAAATTATGCTGGGTTTCTCACTTTTGCATTTGAATTAACTTTCATTTGTTGAAAACATACTGATTGACGAATTTCCTCTTAATGAAATTTATAATGTTTTAAAGAAAGATTAATATTTCTGTAGGACAAAAAAATAACGTGAATAAAATCGAGAACTTTCGCTTTCACTTTTCTTTTAATAACAAAAATCTACAAAAGATGATTTTATTTTTCAGAAAAAAACAAAACAATTAATAAGTTAAGATTTCTTGTGCGTTCAGCTGATTTTTCACAGGGTATTCAAATCTTACTAGATTCTTTCTCTAATTTTTGTAATTTTCGCTATTTGTGATCATTATTTGAACCTAAGTATCAGTAGTAAACAAAAATAATAATCAGAGTTGCTATTTCTTTTCCTTCCAATATTATTTATTGTCAGACAAATTCAACTATAAAATATTGACCCCCTCATAATATAATCACCTCCGATCCAGTGAGAAATTGTATTCGTTTCTATGCCCCAGTCGTATTCATACTAAAATTATGAAAACAAAGTAAGCCTTTTTCAGTTTTTCTTAATATTATCATCTTCATATAATCATATTCGTCATCTTTTTCTTCTTCGATTAAGAATAAAGTTTTACTCATATTGTTTTAATTTAAGGCCACTATTTGTACTTTTTTTCCTTTCTATTGATATTTTTTTTGTCAAGTTAGACTCTATATTTTAGTTTTTAATATTGCGTGAAATAAAATCTATTTTAACTCAAAATGTCAAAAAATAAACCAAATGTTCCACATTCTTTCATAAGAGCATTCCTATCGGTTGCATACTCTTTTTGAGTATCTCAAGAATTAAATACCATTAATTGATTTTTAATAAATTAAATAATTATTTTTTAGTTGTAAAAGTAAAACTAAACCACTAAAGTTATGACCTGTGATGAAAAATGTATCTGAAGAGTTCTCATATGAAAACTGTATCTCCTTCTCTCTCATACATTTTTATTTTTTTAATTTGTTTTATTATTGAGATACTGATATAAGAACCTTGGGATGAAGGTGCTCTAAAAGTATTTGGTAAAGTTCTTAAATGAAAAAAAAATCTGTTTTTTTGTAAAAATAGGTTCTCAACTTTTTTAAAAATTGGTTCTTCTCTAAAAACCTTAAGAATCGGTTTTTCAATTTTTTTCTCTGATTTAATGATAAAACTAGATGTTGGACCTGCGCGCCCGCGCATGTATATGATTTTTGAAATAAATTTTATAAATATTCAAATTATATGGTATAAGATAGATTATTATATAAATTATATTATTTTAATAATTAAATAAAGTAAGTTTTCAAGTAAATAAATATAATTATTTATCATTTGTATATATAATTATGAGTAGTTAAATAATTTTTTTACACTCAAAATATATTTGAATATTTTAAATTAGATGAACAAAAAATTGGTGATTTATTTTTAATAAATTATATTTTGTGTTGATCGAGATAATTATCGTCTACACAAATGTATGCGCATCCACACGGGAATGAAGTTTTTTAAAATAAAATTATTCAGTCTACAAAATATGCTATGAGTATGAGGTTTATAATGTGTTTATTTTACAGTTATATTAATAACAAATTATTTTTTGTGTTATGAGAATTAAATTAATTTTTTAAGTATAAAAATATTAAGTTGAAAATAAAAATAACATAAGTTACGTGTAACTTATTCAAATACGTTGTAAGTATAGATACGCGAGTTGTTATTGTAAAAGTTTATGTATTTTTAATATTGTATTTAGTTTTTTTTTCTCCTTTTCCTTTCTATTCTTTGTTCTTCTTTTTCTTTATTCATATACTCTGTTTTTCTTTTTCGTTCTTCTTTTCTTTCTTTTTCTCTGTTCTTTTTTTTTCTTCTCCATTCTTTTTCTTCTTCTCCGTCTTTTTCTTCTTCCTCTTCTTCATCATTCTTCTTATGTGTTCTTCTTTTTTTCTGTATGTTGTTCTTGTTTTTTTGTTTTTCTTCTCCTTTATCTTTATTTTTTCTTATTTTTCTCTATCCTTCCTTTTCTTCATGTATATTTTTCTCTTTTTTCTGTTTTTTGTTTCTTTCATCTTCTTTTTTTTTCTATATTCTTCTCTTTTTCTCCGTTCTTTTATTTCTTCATCTTATATGTTCATTTCCCTTCTTCTATGTTCTTTTCCCTTCTTCTTTTTTTTCTTATTTTTTTAAAAAATAATCTAACTATATTAACTAATTTTCTCATGTTTTGTTTTACTGTTGTTTTCCAAACCCAACTTCTATATTTATTTGTTGGGCAATTCAATTGAAAGAAGAATTTAATTTTTGACATCTTAATTCTTTTAATAATTCAGTTATATGAATAAGAGTATATATTAGTTATTCGTATATTTTTATTCTTCTTCTTTCTATTTTACCTTTTCTGTTATTTTTTCTCCTTCTTTTTCCTTTGCCTAGGCTAATATTTTCGTATTTGATTTTTTTTTTTCGTTTCTTTTTTCATCTTCTTTGTGGTTCTTCTTCATCACTTCTCCTTCGTTTTATTTCTTCTTCTTCATCCCTTATGCTCCTTCGTTCCTTTTCCTTCTTCATCACTACTTATCCTTCTTCACATTTTCTTTTCTTTTTTTCTCTTTCTTCTTCTCTGTTGTTATTCTTTTTCATCCGCTCTTATTCTCATTCATCTCTTCTCTGTATTCTCCCACTTATTCTCTTTCTTCTTAATCCCTTCTTCTTCTCCTCATTCATCTATGTTTGTTTTTCTCATTCTCCTTTTTTCTCCTTCATTTTTCTTATTCTCTATTCTTCTCCTTCTTCCTTTTCTTTTTTGGATTACCAAGAGGTTCTAGACTGAAGCCTGCATTCTCTCCAAGCCCGAAATCACATCATGTAATATTATTTTTTGTCTCAAGCGTCGCTCGATCAAGTGATCCCTAAGCTTTTTCTAGGATCCTTTACCAGTCGAGCTAACAACACTTTTTACTCATTCGTCTTCTCCTCCATCCTTTCTTCTATGTTATTCGATATTCTCCTTCATCCCCTCTTTTTTCTTTGTCCCTTCTTCTTATTCTTCTACTCTTTCATGCCTTCTTCTTCTTCATCCATTCTCCTTCTTCTCCGTTCTTCTTTTCTGTTTTTTTCTTTCATCTTCTCCGCATTTCTTAATCTATTTGCCTACAAACATATGTGTTTGACTTATTATATTATTTCATAATAATAAGAATATGATTATTGTTTTTGTAATATTTTTTTGCAATATCTTTTATATTGTGTGAATTTATATAATTTTATTAGATATATTTATAGCAATTATAATTGTTATTTGCTTATAAATACATTTGTTTGTCCTATTATATTGTTGCATTATAATAGATTATTATTTGCTTATAAACATATTTGCTTGGCCTATATATGAAAAATATGTTTCTGTAATACTTTTTTTGCTAAATGTTTTATATGTAAAAATATTTATAATTTAATCTTATACATATATAGTAATTATAATTTTCATTTCGTTTTATATAATTTGGATGTTAATTAATTTTAATATTAATTAGAATTTTCGAAATAATTATTTATAGAAATATTTAAATTATTTAAATGTGTTTGGTAATTGAAATTAAACTAATCTAAATAATATTTGAAAATCAATGTGTTTGGTAATAGGTATATAAGAATTAAAAAAATAATAATAAAAATAAAAATTAATTGCTTGTATTAACAAATGACTAAACTACCATTAATGAAAATCTAAGGAGAAAATTAAAATACAATGGCATTTCATGTAATATAATACATGATTTATGTTTAAACATTTAAGTGTTCCTCTTTTAATAGTATGGATATATTTAATAACCCCAACATGAAGTTTACCATTACTGATGGTCTAAGTTTTTGCACTAAAGTTCAGATGAACATGCACCAAAAAGAGAAAAAAAAAATATTTTTAACTAAATATAATTAATACAAAATCTAGACACCATCATGCCTAGATTTTTTTTTTTTTAAATGATGTATATGGTCTTTTACTTTTATAAAAAATCACAAAAAAAGAAAAATCAATACAACAATAACACAAATGTCTCTCCAAGAGATGACACATCAGTTTTTTCAAGCTTTATAAAGTTGACACCTCAGCAAAAAAAAAACACCAATTTAAACATTTTATTAATACACATCATCTACTAACTGTTATTATTATTTAACTTAGACCTATTAAAAATCCAAATATTTTTCTTTGTTAATCTTTATTATATTTTTTGTCAAACCCAAGCTTAAATAATAAATAACAGCAAATAAAAAATTGTTTTATTTTTTTACCATCTCCAAACCCAAATAATAAATAACAACAAATAAAAAATTAATTTTTTGTTTTATATTTTTGCCAAACTGAAACTCAAATAATAAATAACAGCAAAAAAAAAAATTAAAATTTCTAACTATGTGTTTGCTTGATAGAGACGTATATGACTCAAGAAAGTGTAGACTCATCATTAACTATGCTTTCATAACAACAACACAAAAAGCGTTATGTTATAAGAAGCTCACACATCAACAAAAATTGAACCAATAAAAATATAACAATAATACATATTATTAACACACTAATAAAACTAGTTTACTATTTTGCTCACCATATTATTAACACACTAATAAAATTACTTTACTATTTTTCTGACCCATTAAAAAGCCTTAATATTACAAAATAATGGGAGTCGAAAGCAAATGAGGAGAAGCTCATACTACCACAACTTGGAGATTCGCATTTCTGCTGGTTACCGAGAACAAATTTTCTTGGGTTTGGCGGGAAATAGAGAATTTTTTGGTTTCAGTAGAAAAATGTGATTTTCAGTTTTGGTAGGAAAACATAATTTCTCGGTTATGGCAGAAAAAAAAGAATTCTCGGGTTTGGTGGAAAATGTGAATTTTTGGTTTTGGTGAGGAAATTTTTTTTTGATTTTGACACAAAAACAAAATATTTTAGTTTTGATAAGAAAATGCGAGAGAAATGTAACTTTTCAATTTTGATGAAAAAAATACGATTTCTCGGTTCTGATAGAAAATGCAAATTTTTGGCTTTTGATGGATAATGTGATTTTTTGATTTTCGCAGGAAATTGTAATTTGACGATTTTGGCAAAAAATACAATTTCTCGGTTTGATGGGAAAACAAAATATCTCAATTTTGGCGGAAATAAGCAATTTCTTAGTTTTGATGGAAAATGTAAATTTTCAGTTTTGACATATAATGTGATTTTTTTTGTTTTCGCAGGAAAATGCGATTTCTTAGTTTTCGCAGAAAACACAATTTCTCAGGAGATAATGCAATTTTTGATTTTCACGGGAAATTGTAGTATATCGGTTTTGGCAGGAAGGCGTGATTCTTGGTTTGACGAGAATTTTTTTTTTTTTTTTTTGGCCAGAATAGACGATTTCTCGATTTCCACGGGAAAATAATTTTTTTGGTTTTAAAGGGAAAATACGATTTTTTGGTTATTGCAGGAAGATGAAGTTTTATAGTTTTGGTGAAAAAACTTGATTTCTCTGTTTTAGCAGGAAAACACAGGTTCTCGCGGGAAAATGTGATTTTTTGGTTTTTGCGCGAAAATGCAATTTCTTTGTTTTGGTGGAAAAATAAAATTTCAGGTTTGATGAGAAAATGTTTTTTTTTGTTTTGGTGGGAATAGGCGATTTCTCAGTTTCGTGAGATTTTTTTTTTTTTTTATGTCGGAAAATACAATTTCTTAGTTTTTGTGAAAAGATAAAATTTCAATGTGCTGAATTTTCAAGTTACAATATGTTTACACTAACCAAAATTAAAGTATTTAACTTCAACTAAATTGATATTTCAACAGTTCAAACAGAACTTTCTATTTAGTTCTAAAGCAATAGTAATGGTTTTGATATGAATGTTATTGATTATAGTTTGATAGCTTTAGAAACATATGTTTATAATAAATATTTGATAAATAAATAAATTTTATAATTCAAATTAATCATATTAATTAATAATATTTTTTAATGGTAATTTCTTTATATAATTTTAAAAGAGGATAAAGTGGCAATTTAGTAGGAAAAATAAATTACATTTGTCATTAGCATGAAAGTACTTAAAATGTATTATTTTATTCTTACATATACATTTATAGATAGTTAGCTAAACAAATTTGATAGAAGATTATAATTTTGAAATATTAAAAAATTAGTAATATTTATTCAGATTTAAAACATATAAATACATAACTTAAGCTAATATAAAATAAATATAATACTCATTTATATTATAAAAATAATTTTATTATATTAAAAATATATATAAAATCTAGAAAAATATCCTGCAGCGTAATGCAGGTAAATACCTAGTATATATCAATACAAAAGCTAAGACAAAAGAAAATCTTTACCTAAAATAATTATATAATAGAGAACATAATTTTATAATGAAAATATAAATGAAAATATAGACGAATTAACATTTTAAGGAAAAAAAGCCTCTAATTAGCGAATAATTTGTGTCAACGTATTTGTTTTTCCAACAATTAAGTATGACTTTTGACTATTTAATTATATTAGTTTTCGTGACTGTGATACTGTTTTTTGAAAATATTGTGGAGATTCCCCAAACTACAGATCCAATATTAGAGGTTGCTGTGCGGGCCAATTATATATGTTTCCCCTCTTTATTTATTTACCCCATAACTTTTCATAAAAAGATCAAAGCCCCTAACTATTTTTTTTAAGTTGGTTTTTCAATTCCAAATATACATTCTAGTATCATTTTCTTTGAACATTTATAAAAATAAATAAAATATTAATCCCGACCACGGACCGTTGCACCTACGGCCTCTCTAGTTTCTATGAGTTGATCCTGGATACTTCTGCTCAAAGTCAAACACAAGTCACAAAACATGTATATGGCTAAATGGTGATATATTGATTGTGATATCTTGTTTCTTGGATTAGGTTACCTTTGGTGCAGCAGTCAATGGGATGGGACATGCAATTGTTTATCCGGTTCTTCAGTCAATTATCGCGTACAGCTTTAAGGATAGTGCAAGAGGCTTAGGTTTTGGTTTATGGAATCTCATTGGTACGGTCGGAGGTATAGGTGGAACCGTCGTGTCAACGGTCATGGCTGGTCATGTTATTTACGGAGTCTCAGGCTGGCGCTGTGCCTATCTATTGAGTGCAACGCTAAGTACGATGATAGGGTTTCTTATGTTCTTCTTTGTCACTGACCCGAGGGAGAAGAAAACAAGAAGCTACGTTGTTCCTAACCATGAACGGTCTCTACATTCTTGGTTATATCCTTTTTTGTATTATCTTCCTTATTTTTGAGTTTTGAGTTAGTCATGCGGCTTTTGTAGAGATGAAAACGATGCTGATTCTGCAAAGGTGGAGAGTTCGAGCTCGGTTTGGATGGAATCTTGGGTTGGGTGGCCATAAAAGACGTAACCAAATTACGAACATTTCAGATAATCGTGTTACAAGGAATCATAGGTTCGGTGCCATGGAATACAATGGTTTTCTGGACAATGTGGTTCGAACTCATTGGTATTTTAGACCATTATGAAACATATAAATGCCATCATCTTTTAATCAAACAACGAAAATAATGTTTTCAATTCTCAAGGTGGTATATTTGATTTTTCTGGTTTTAATCATAATCAAGCGGCGTTTCTGAACGGAACATTCACCACGGGACAAGCAATAGGATCTTTAATCGGAGGAATAACAGCAGACAAAATGTCTCGTGTGTTTCCAAACTCAGGAAGATTGATATGCGCACAGTTCAGCGTTTTCATGGGAGCTATATTCTCCATTATCCTCCTACAAATATCCCCACAGTCCACAAACAGCTACTACATCTTCATAGTCACTCTTTTTCTAATGGGTCTCACCATAACTTGGTGTGGACCAGCCATTAACTCTCCAGCTGAGATTGTTCCTCCTACGCATCGAACCATGGTCTACGCCTTTGACCGTGCACTCGAAGTAACTTTCTCGTCATTTGGCGCGCCTTTGGTCGGGATTATGTCGGAGAAAGTCTTCGGGTTCAACACAAAAGGTATTGATAATGTTAAAGACGCTGGTCGTGAGGCCGAAGGCTTTGTCGAAAGGGGTCATGTGGATGATGGCTTTCCCGTTTGCATTGTGTTGTCTTTGTTACACACCGTTACATTTTATTTTCCGGAAAGATAGAAAAACTCCTCCAAGTTCAATGGAAGTAGAGACGGTATGAGATGTTATCATGATGCTTCGTTACAATTGATACTAATAATATAATCAAGATTAAGAAAACACCTAGAATCACTTGATAAAAAAAGGGTTTTCAGTTTTCACTTTTCACCGTCAAAGAGCATTTAAATGTACAAAAGAGCAAGAAACAACAGAAGTTTTCTTGAGAAGAAGAAAAGAACGATGAGTGCTTTTTGAAAGCGAATCCATTACATGCAACGAGGGAATGTGGTTTCGCCAACACGACCACCATACATAGCCTTCTTAACATTAGCCTCGAACAGCTTCGGGTTATCCCTTAAAACCGCTGCTGCGTCGTGGTTCAGAGGATCCTCGTGATTGGGTTCCTGTAGTGTAACCAAAGCCACTTAGTCCCACGCAAGAAAGTACAAAATCAATGAAAAGAGTATATATATATATATGTAAAAAGGAGGTTTTGTTTTTACCGTGAAGAGATGGAAAAGACCGTAGATGATTGTGTTAATGTTGAGAACCGGTTTCCAGTCTTCACGCAAGATGTTCAGACACACATTTCCTTCTAAATCAATGTTCGGATGATACACCTGCAAGGATAATAAACTTATAAGCAAAGTACAAGATCGAAACTTTTCAGATATGAGAGAGAGAGAGAGAGAGAGAGAGAGAGAGAGAGAGAGAGAGAGAGAGAGAGAGAGAGAGAGAGAGAGAGAGAGATACTAACCTTGGTCTTGCATTTAACCTTTGGAGCTTCATGTGGATACACAGGAGAGACTTGGAATGTGAAAACGAACTTCCCACCTCTGTTTTTTTGGTAAAAAAACAAGAAACAAGAACGAATCAGTGTTTGAGCAAATTCAAGAACAAAGATGAAGATTATGATGTATTACTTACATGTAATATCCTTCGTCCGGTTTAATGTTAACTTCAAAGTTCATCAAATCATTCTTTCCATTCGGAAAATGTGTCGTGCAAGTCTTTGCCAGATTCAGCTCTGAGATATCTATACACAATAAAAGATTGGATATAAAAAACCACTAACAATTGCTTCAAGAACCCAAGAAACTGAAATTAGGTCAAAAGCAAAAAAAAAACATAACTGAGAGGAAGAAGAAGAAAGAGCGAACCTTTGTGAAGACGAAGTTCACCAGCGGATTGCTTATTGACAGAAGCTCCTCTTTTGGTATTTTTGGCGTCTTCTTTTTGCTTTTCCTTAGCTTTGAATAACCCAATCATGGCTCCTCGTCTACCTCACAAGATCAACGAAACATTATCACAATGAGATTCAACGGAACAAAACAACAGCGAGAGATTCGAATCAAAACAATCACTATTCAAAAGAGAAACCCTAATCGAAGTTTCACCAAAGTAAACAATCACTATTCAAAAGAGAAACCCTAATCGAAATTTCACCAAAGTAAACAATCTTTAATCAGAGACGAAAACCTAATTTTAGCAAAACGATCGGGAGATTCTACAGAAACCAGATCATTGATCGCAAGGACGAATCGTAAAACCACAAGACGCGAAAGTAGAGTTAAGAGAAGAGATTGGAGAGCTTACGAGTTGAGATCTTTTACAGGGAATTGGAACCAAAGATTGAATTTGCTGAGTACAGAATTTCGTAGACCTTTTAAGGCTATGTATATATACAAAAACTCTTAAACCTAATAAGAAAAAAAATGGAAAAACTTGAAAAAAAAAAAAAAAAAAAATCTCAGAGAAATTGGTAATTTAGAGAATAAATAATACTCCAGTATTGTTTTTTTTTTGCACTTTGATTTTACTGAGAGATAAATACAATACAATATTAGTGTTTACTGTTTTTTAAGATTAATATTATCGATTTTTTTTTCTTTAAATTGTAACGTAAATTTTATTTTCTGGAAATAAATAAACATGTTTTGTGTTGAGCAGGTTCTGTAAAGGGATATATTTAACTTGTAGCTTATTCACGTATTTATGGTTTGTGATTTAGTCAAATATAAACCATTTATAATATAGTTAAAACATAATTCCACTAAATATATACTATTTATCATATTAATTATTTAATGAGAAAAATTTTAAATTAGCAAGTTAGTTTTAAATTTACTTCGCATATATGTTTTAAAAATATAACAAGTATAGATAGAAAGTTATTTATTTAATAAATAATTATTTTAAATCTATCTAATTTTCAATTTTACGATTCTATTGATCTACAATTTTATTCAGTTTTAAGTTTTATTATATTATATTAATCCTATTGTTTTAATATTCAACGTAACTATTCAGTTGACACCATTCAAATTATTTTTAAGAGTGGCTTAGAGGCAGATACAACAAAAATGACAGCCATTCGCTCCTGGCCAACACTGAATTATATATGTTATAGAAGTTTTCATGGGCTGGTCTCGATTTGTAGGAGCTTTATTCTTCATTTAGTATGTATAATGACGTCTATAACAAGTTCCATTAAAAGCTCGTTTAATTCAAGTGGTCACCCGAACCTAATGTCACGTTTCAAACCATCAAACACAAGTTTACAGGAGCTCCTCAGGTTCTAGCTTTATCAAATTTTGCCAATTTTTCTTAGTTGCATTCAAGATGCATCAAAGACGGAATCATATTTGTGTGGAAAGTCTAGGTTTGGGTCTTTGGCCCAAACCGTTTACATAGTAGTTTGGTAATAGGTGATTCGGCTATCCTTGACATTAGTTGTAAGACATTTCAAATTTGGGACAAACAATGTGGTGACCCAAATATAGATCTTATAGCTCGTTGACTCGAGCTCGGAAAATATCCGTTGAATTATTGAACAAAGGAAAAATCCATTTTGTAGCACCTTAATGCATTCCTACAGGAGCCAACCGGATCGATACAGTTCTCAGCCAGCAAAAAATAAACTATTGGCTTTTCTTTGTGTGTAAAGATTGCTAGAGGAAGATACAATATTTATGATGTTAAATTATATGCAGTTCGTTTAGACGATTAAAACGTTGGTGTCATCTATTTCATTGTGAATTTGTTCTGTTCAGATACCATGATGCTTTGAAGCATTAAGCATCTGAGATTTCAAGATAAAGTATGTATGCATATTGGTTTGCCTATTTACAGCAATTCACATTTGTTACTAAGCATAAAGCAGGGGTCTTTAACAAATTTTATTTACGTTAATTATATTATATTATGTTAGAGGTTTAAATGAATATAAATACTTGGCAATATTGAATTTTCTGCGTAGGAGTTTGGATCTCATGTTGTTTTTGGAATGACAATTTCTCATATACTTTATATATTTTTTAACAAAAAGAACAAGATAAATATCAATATACAGTAAAATTTTATAAATTAATATTCAATAAATTTATAAATTTATAAATAAATAATTTTGCTTGGTCCCGAATTAAACTAATTTAAAATTTGATGCAAATCAATAAATTAATAAAATCATCATATTTTTTTAAAAACTTATATAAAATGTAGTCCTATTAATATCATAAATTAATAAATATCACATAAAATAATTTATATTAATATATAATTATGATAATCTATTAAAAATGAGTATATTTTTCATATTAAAATCAAAATATTTTTATCATTTATCTCTAATTTTATAATAAAAATTTTGGAAAATATTATAAACTTTTTTAAAAAAATATTTTTAATTAATTATTACTAAACAATTTATTTTATTCAAAATTGATAAATTAATAATTTTATAATTAACAAAATAGCAAAATCCTAATATTATTAATTTATAGAGTTTATACTGTATATAGACATAATTTTAAATTTTCAAATAAATAAAATAATCCAACTATCCAAATGAAACTTTTGAAAAGCAAAAATGATATTTAAAAACTTGTTTTTAACATACACAAAATACAAAAAAAAAATGATGAGATTGTCTAATACAGAAATATACAAAAACAAATATTTTAGTTGTCGAAAAAAGAGTGGACTCATCATCATTTGACTTATTTCATATGGTTGAAAATCTAATAAGGTGAAAAATATTATATATATAAAAATCAAACATCATCATCGTCGTCTCTAGTCCAGACACTACTTCATTACCCAACCCAAAATCTCTCTCCGTCATTCGAACTCCATTTCCAATTAAGAAAGACTCAAACTTTTTCCATTACTTTCGAGAATTCGTCATGGCTACTGTGAATCTAAGCTCATTAATACATATCTCTTGCAGAAAACCCAGATCCGTACCCGGGTCCAATACATCCATCCTCAAAGTCCAACCTTTCCTACTCCGGCCAAAACTCGCCGCTTTCTCAGCCGTCACGAGAGAAGACAGTTACAAAAGTATCATCCACGAAGGAGAAGAAGACAACCTCGAATTCGATTTCATGTCTTACATGATCGGTAAAGCTAATTCCGTCAATAAAGCTCTCGATTCCGCCGTCTCGCTCCGAGAACCCATCAAGATCCACGAGGCGATGCGTTACTCTCTCCTCGCCGGCGGAAAGCGCGTAAGACCAGTTCTCTGCATCGCCGCGTGTGAGCTAGTCGGCGGCGAAGAATCCGCCGCGTTACCGGCGGCTTGCGCCGTCGAGATGATCCACACGATGTCCCTGATCCACGACGATCTCCCGTGTATGGACAACGACGACCTCCGCCGCGGAAAACCCACGAACCACAAAGTATTCGGCGAGGACGTCGCCGTTTTAGCCGGAGACGCGCTTCTATCATTCGCGTTTGAGCATTTGGCGACGTCGCGGGTTTCTCCGGCGAGAGTGGTTAGAGCAATCGGGGAGCTAGCGAAAGCCGTAGGATCAGAAGGGCTCGTGGCGGGGCAAATCGTGGATCTAAGCAGTGAAGGAATGAATCAAAACGACGTCGGATTAGAGCTTCTGGAGTTTATCCACGTTCACAAAACGGCGGTTTTGCTGGAGGCGGCGACGGTTTTGGGAGCGATCGTTGGTGGCGGAACTGATGGAGATATCGAGAAGCTGAGGAAGTTTGCGAGATGCATTGGGTTGTTGTTTCAGGTGGTTGATGATATTTTGGATGTGACGAAATCGTCGGAGGAATTGGGGAAAACCGCCGGAAAAGATTTGATCGCCGATAAGCTGACGTATCCGAAGCTGATGGGTCTTGAGAAATCGAAGGAATTTGCGGATAGATTGATGAGAGATGCTCAAGAACAGCTTCGTGGATTTGATTCTAAAAAGGTTGCACCTTTATTGGCTTTGGCTAATTACATTGCGAAAAGACAGAACTAATTCAGTTGCGAATGTTTTAATTATTGGGTAATATTCTCCGACAAGAGATCAAGAAACTCTTTAAATTCTCAGATTATAAAGTGGATTAGAACGTTATGATTATCCGTGATTATTGTTTCTGTAACAGAGGATTAGGGGTGGGTAAAATATCCGTTATATCCGCTTCGAACCGATATTTGCTTCGATTCGATTCAAAAAATTTGGATATCCGTAAAACTTCGGAGCAAAGCAAATAGCAAAATGTAGTATCCGTACAAAACGGAGCAAATAACAAATATGTTTTTAGACAACGTCGGATATCCGATCCGATATGTATTTTTATAAATTTATTATATATTAGTATATCTTATCATGTATATATCAATTATATTATAAATTTTTATTAATATACTCTCGGTTTTCTTTCTAAATTTTCAATTGTTTATAAATTATTTAGATTATATAAAATAAATGACTAAATAATCATTTATAAAAAATAAATAATATGTTTAAATTTAAAATATATTAATAAATCATAATTTATTTGATATTAGTTAATAAATATCAACAAAAGTTTTTAATAAAGTTTAATATTTAAAGTTTCAAATAGTTAATATTATTTTTAAATATAAAATATTATTTTTTCCTCATCTTAATTTTATAGGTTTAATTTTTATAGATTTTTTATAAAATAAAATGTTTTTTTTTAATTATTTTCACTTAACAGTTTAGATAAAAAAATATTTTTTATAATAAAAATTGATGTACTTTCAGTTTTGTGTATATTAAATGGATCAAACTAAATATTCATAAATATACGTAAATATCCGTAAATATCCATAAATACTTGTAAAATTTTCGGATATCCGAAAATCCGGATATCCGTATATTTCCGGAGCAAATCAAATCATTAAATTATATATCTGTTAAAAACGGAGCAAATCACAAATATTTAAAAAATTTCGGATATCCGATCCGCACCCACCTCTACAGAAGATTGCTGGTTTTTTAAAAAGATTGTCATTTCTTTTGAACTTTTGTTACACGACTTTCTTTGGTTTATCCGAATGTTCTTAGGCAAGATCTTGAACGCACGATGATGATGATGATGTGTGTTGTGAGATTCTCCATTGGGTCATTTTGAATTGTGTTGGATTAGTTAATATTATCGTTTCTTTGGTGTCCAGTCCAAATCACATAATGGTATCTGAATCGTGTTTGTCGTATTTGCAATTCAATATTCAAAACTGATTATAAATTTATCACAAGAAAATAAAATCAATTGAACATTACTTTCTTGTTTATTAGAGAGTAATGTTCAATTGATTTTATTTTCTTGTTTATTAGAGAGGAAAACGTGAGGAGGAAATACATGATGTATTGTTATAAAATCATTGAGGATTCAACAATTTATAATCAAAAAGAAAATGCCAATCCATGGTTAATGATTATGTAGAATCATTGAATATTTTAAAAATTCCATACAAGATAGAGATGATGTATTTTTTTAATTAATTCTGCAATTAGATCAAAAGGAAAAAAAAATTGAAAACAGGGAGGCGCTTTTTCGAAAAAGATATTGTGGTTGTGGAGATTTTAAAACTGTAATTTTTAAAAAATGGAAATTAGTAAGTTTTGTCATTATTTTAGAGAAAACAACAACCTTAACACACCTACAAATGAAAATGAAAATTTGGCTAAATACAAATTTGTTAAAATATTTAAAAACGTTCAAAATTGCACGATATACATCATCATGTTGTGGTATTTTTACCTTTTTTTGTATGTTTTGATTTTTTTTTTTTATTGTTTAGCTAATTAACTTGTTACTGCACTATTTTATTAAGGTATCACAAAGTATTTACCATTGACATACAAAACATTGTTGTTATGTTTTCTTCTTACCGGTTAAGTAAATTATTCTATTCTAGATGGAAAATCAAAGGGCCCATGGCTTCAATTTTCAAGCCTCGACCACTGATTATTTTGTCTTTGTTCAGACAGTGAATAAAAAAAGAAAAAGCAAAAAATACATTTTTGAGTCTCTCTCCTTCTTTAATTCTTTCTTTTTTTTCCTCGTTCTTTCATGTTCCATTGCCATTGATGAGTCCTTCAAGACCAAGTCGAGAGTAGTGCAAAGACTCTTTTCTCACACTGTGTAAAACCGCGTGAGAAATGGTCTTCCTGCTCAGATCTCTCCATTTCACTTAAAAAAACCCTAAAATTTTCCCGCATTTTCTCTCTCTTTCCCTTCCGATTTTCCCCAGCTTCCCCAAGCGTACAAGCTACTTCTCTTCCAGAAACTCAAAAGTAAAAAAAACCCTATAAACAAGCACTCTTCACCTTTATAAAAATTCAACCTTTCGTTTTGTCTTGTGTGTTTCAGAGAATCTCTGCTTTCAATTCGCATTTTCATTATTAAAAAAACCATCTGCAAATTCCCAGGTAATTGCTACTTTTACTTCATGATCTTGAAGTCTCGTTTCACCATTTTTATGGATTTGCTGCGATTTTCTAGTACTCTTGCGGTTAAAGGTTTTCACCTTTTTACCTCTTCGATGTCGGTTTCGATTTTAGATTGCTCCGTAAGATTCGGCAGAAATTTAGTTGCTTTAAGCTATAAATTAAATACCCATTTCGATCTTTTTCATATAGCATTGCCTCTGTTTCTGGTAATCGAAGGTCTCTCTCTTGCTCTTACAAGCTCAAGATAGGTTCGATTTCTAATTCGTAGCTCTTTCTCTCTGATTAGGTTCCAAATTTCAACAGTTTCATATTATAAAACAAGAATGATGGGAGGAAAATCTAGTAAGGGCAAGAAAGGTGGTGATGATTATGGTTCACCTACGACACCTGTACAGATCAAGATAAACTCAGCTTACATAGAGCACTTGAGCTCCTACGAAAGAGCTTGCAGTGAAGACCCAAAGCTCGAGTCTTTCGACTCAGCGCTTCACGAACGAACTAACCGAGTCATCAACAAGCTCGCATCGGGCGTAGAGATCAAGTCTCTGTCTTTCGATTCGCTCAGAGAGGTGACGCAGTGCCTTTTGGATATGAACCAAGACGTGGTCAAAGTGATACTGCAGGACAAAGAGGATATATGGAACAATCAAGACTTGTTCTCCCTTGTGAATATGTACTTCGAGAGCACTGCAAAGACAATGGACTTCTGCTCTGAGCTCGAGAATTGCCTCAACCGCGCGAGGAGAAGCCAAGTGATTATTCAGTTCGCTGTTAAGCAGTTCGAGGAAGAGGCTGAGATACCAGTAGTAAGTAACGAGAACAGAAAGTATGAGAAGACGCTCGAGGAGCTCAAGAGGTTTAAATCCGCGGGAGATCCGTTTACGAAAGAGTTCTTTGCTCTTTTCGACTTGGTACACAAACAGCAGGTTCTCATGCTCGAGGAGCTTCATAAGCTCAAGAGAAGACTCGACAAGAGGCTCAAGAATATCAAAACGTGGAGAAGAGTATCGAACATGGTGTTTGTGACCGCGTTTATCTCCGTGCTTATCTTCTCGGTGGTTGCAGCCGCTGTGGCTGCACCGCCTGTTGTGGCGGCTATAGCCGGTGCATTGGCTGTTCCGGTGGGGTCTGTCGGGAAATGGTGCAACTCTCTTTGGACCAAGTACGAGAAAGTGGTTAGAGGTCAGAAGGAGATGATTACATCGATCAGAATCGGGACTTACATCTCGGTTAAAGAGATGGATAACATAAGCGTTCTTGTGAGGAAAGTGGAAGTGGAGATTGAGTCTCTGTTGAAGAACGCTGAGTTTGCTGTTACAGAGGAGGAGAAAGTGGTGAGGCTTGCGATAGACGAGATCAAGAAGAAGCTCGATGTGTTTACCGAAACCATTGAAGAACTCGGGAAGCATGCGAATAAGTATTGTAGCGATGTGACGAAGGCGAGAACCGTGATTCTGCAGAGGATCATCCGATATCCGACTGGTTCGACGAGTGAAGAAGCTACTTGGTAAAGATCCCTTAAAGCTTATAGCTCCTTTAACTCCAAAACTAAACTTATTACTTCATGTTATGATTCATCATTATGTTTTATGATTGAGTTTTTTTGTGTGTGTGTTATTGAATGATGATCAGGACGGAAATGTTGTCTTGAGAAGGCGGTTTTCGGATTCGAGATTGGCTTTGAAGACTGTGTTGGTTTGTTTCCTTTAGCACAAGTTTTATGAACAGCTAAGGATATTTCTTAATGTTATTAGTTGCACTGTGTTAAACTTTTCTTAATTAATTATAACATTAATTATGCGATTGATTTTGGCTTTTATAATAATCGGTCTTGTATTTATGTATGAATGAATGTCTCTGACTCTCTGTGCTTAAGGATTCCTAAGCTGGATCCTTAAAGGCTAAACTCAAATATTAACTAAAAAATTAAGACGTGAAGAGTTAGTTGATGAAGACTAAGGACATTTCTGTGTTCTTCTTTTAACGAAAATTCCGGTATGAAACATTGTTTATATCTTAAGCAACAAACATTTCAGTATTTCACCATAAGCATCAAACTGTATTGAAAATAAATCTAGTTTTTTTTCTAGAAATCGTGGTGTGTAGTGGATTAACAAAAAGAATTTTAAAGTTTTGCACTTTTATTAATAATCCTTAGTAAATGACAAACCACAGTTTCAGTTATTTCTGTTGGCAATGAACTCAGCAAGAGCTATCAAAGGTTTCATTTTGTCAGAATCAAACCCTTTAAGATGTTCTCTCGCATCTGTCTTCAGTTTTATAACAAAATTTCTTCGACTTCTCAACACCCATCACTATACGTCAGCTAGTGATATTGGCGTTAGAACCGATGTGGTTAAGGTTTCGTTGAGGATTTGGCTTTCAACCTTGACTTAAAGACCATTGAGCAAGTTGAAGAAGAAGAGGGTTCTCATACCCACTTTGTTAGGTGACAAACAGAATTCTATGATCTTGTTATTGAACGTTATTCAATGTTTATGATGGAAATGTTTTAATATTGGAAAGAGAGTGATTGAGAGGAAAAAAATCTTTGTTTTAAATGCACCTTCCAATGACATAATATTCAATCACTCCAATCAACATCATCTCTATTCAAATTTATTCTCAAATTTTTAAAAATAATCCTGATTCTAAAAGGAGGCCCAACAATCTTAGAAAAAAATAAACAGAAAAAATCCGAAAATCCATCGATTATCTTTCAATTGTCTCTCACCAGCTTGGATGTTTTCATTAGTAAATTTAGAAGAGCATGTTAACATAAGCAATTTCATCAATTGTTGGAAAACTTCGATGTTAGTGTTAAAAGTAACTGAAATTTTTATGAGACAAAACTTGGGCAAAAATGTCTTTGAAGTGACCATATGTGTCTTTTATCAATCTTACCAAATATTCAAACTTGTTATTCTAGTATGTGGATCTCCAAGTTTTCCTCTGTTTTATTTTCATATAAGCAAGATAACTCTCAGCCAACTTATGTCTCCAATCATATAGGATATATCCATTAGCCACATTTTTTTTACGTCATTGATCAATAAGAGCTTACTTGGATCACTAATCACATTTAATATTTTAAGTTCCCACAACTTAGCATAATGTCCAATCTCAGCTAGAAAATCAAATTTCTTATGCGATTCCCAAAAATATTGAAATCACAAATAAACACCTATTAGAGATTGCTCAAACAATTTTGGATATATGTCAGTTTTGATTTGATATGTATTTCTTACCTTAAATCTGTTTTTCAAAGTAAATTGATCTTTTTTCGGAGTAACAAAAAACATATTAAAGTCGGGAGGGGGAGGGAGAGGGAGAGAGGGGAGATGGTGGGGGGTTACGTATGATTAATTTACTACACGTTTGTTTGGATGAGCTTCGATTAATTTACTTTTTACAAAATCCAAAACAGAATATTGGAAACAGAGGTGATTGGTGAATATCTTCCAAAAGAGATTGAAAAATTAATGGTAACAACATATATTCGTAGGAAGAAAATTACATTTTAGCAGTTATCGAACAGTGTGAGAAACTTCAACAAGAAAATGAGACTCAAAATGAGAATAAGTTTCTTGATTGAATTGGCGAGAAGATAAAAACTGGCTTAGATTATATTGTGATATGATTATATTGTATTTTTTTGCTTATAATCTAAACAAATTTTGAATAGTTTTGTTGTTGTTGTTGATGTGATAGCATTACAAAGGATTCAAATGCATCAAGTTGACGGTGGTAACTCAATTATATGATTTGGAATATGGATATGTTATGTTGTTATGGTTAGTTTATGATGGCTTCTGATCTAACTATGTTATGTTTGGTTTATGTATTCTATTCTGAGATTTTAAAATTTTAAGTTGATTTGGATTTTGATTAGGCTATGTTCATGGGTTGTGCAGTTTTTACATTAGATATTTTAGAATTTTTAAATGTTTCGAAAAAAATAACAGTAAAAAACTTGTAATAATTCATTAGTCGACTGATGATCTTTGCACAAAGGATCTAAGTTGTTAAAGTAGTTAAAATGCACGATCGGAGACAGAAAGTGTATTTGCTATTAGATGAGAAGAGAAAATGTCATTTTTATTTTAACTTTCAGTGTTTTAGTTAGAGGTATACTCGTTGTTCTGTTTTGTTATTTCACTTAATTTAGAGTTTAGTTGGGGCCACTGTTACTGAAGTGTCAGATTTTTGATTGGATGGAGAAGAGAAAATGTTACTGAAATGTCAATTTCTCTTACTAAACATCTATTATTTTCTTTGCCATTATTTCATATGTCAAACCAAAATATTTTTCTTTCATCAAATTTAAATTTTAAGACTCTGAAACAATAACAATAAAACTTTTTCTAAACAAGAGGATCGTGGTACCTACGGCCTGCGATCCATGATACTTAATGATTGGTTTGATCATAATATGAAACATAAATGGTTTGAAAGCTTAGATCAGAGTCATGAGTAACATTCTTGCTTTCTGATTATGTTGAATCTTTTGTACCTCACATCGAACCTTTATGTTAAACCGATATGGCACTGGTGGATATTCCACTTCCACAACGTAAGGCATGGTCTCCGATCGGATTATCGGATTCCTAAGCTGGATCCTTAAAGGCTAACTCAAATATTAACTAAAAGATTAAGACGTGAAGAGAGTTAGTTGATGAAGACTAAGGACATTTTTGTGTTCTTTTTTAACGGAAATTCCGATATGAAACATTGTTTATATCTTAAGCAACAAACATTTCAGTATTTCACCATGACCATAAGCATCAAACTGTTTTAAAAATAAATTTACAGTAAAACCTCTATAAATTAATATAAATTAATAATGTTGGGACTCTCAAATTTTATTAATTTATAGAGTTATTAATTAATCGATAAATTAATATTTTATTTATTTATAGAGATATTTTTAGTTTAAATCTTTAATATTCATAAAAAATAAAATTAATATTTTTAACAATGTAAAATTTATTCAAAAAATATCATAATAATGAATTTAGAAGATAAATAAAACAAATTTTATAAACTTGAAACAACAATATTGTCATAATTTATTATATTATATTATTAATATATGCGTGAATGTATGATTATTAATTTATATTATTATTCGCACCATATTTTTATATTGAACTTTCAAAAAAGTATTATCTTATTATCTTATCGAATATTGTTAATTTTTACACTGGCCCAACTTGGGACCAGCAAAAATTATTAATTTATAGTAATTATTAATTTATCGAGTATTAATTTATAGAGGTTCTATGTAGATTTTTTTTTTAGAAATCGTGGTGTGTAGTGGATTAACAAAAAGAAGCCTGAGTTACTAGAATTTTAAAGTTTGCATTTTTATTTTAATCCTTAGCAAATAACAAACCACAGTTTCAGTTATTTCTGTTGGCAATGAACTCAGCAAGAGCTATCAAAGGTTTCACTTTGTCCGAATCAAACCCTTTAAGATGTTCTTTCGCATCTCTCTTCAGTTTTATAACAAACTCCTTCGATTTCTCAACACCCATCACTTTCGGATACGTCAGCTTTCCGGCGATCTGATCTTTCCCGGCGGTTTTCCCCAGTTCCTCCGACGACTTCGTCTCGTCTAAAATATCGTCAACCACCTGAAACAACAACCCAATACACCTCGCAAAGTTTCTAACTTTCTCAATCTCTTCCTCCGATCCACCTCCGATGATCGCTCCGATAACCGCCGATGCTTCAAGCAGCGAAGCCGTCTTATGAACGTGTATAAACTCGAGTTGCTTTAATCCGACGTCGTTCTGACCCAACCCTTCGCTGCTCAAGTCCATAGCTTGTCCCGCCACGAGTCCTTTCGTTCCAACAGACCTTGCAAGCTCCCTAACGGCTCGAACCATTCTCTCAGACGACACGTCAGCTTCCGTCAAATGCTCGAAAGCCAGAGCCAAGAGCGCGCCGCCGGAGAGAATGGCGACGCTTTCTCCGAAGACTTTGTGTGTGGTGGGTTTGCCTCGTCGGAGATCGTCGTTGTCCATGCAAGGGAGATCGTCTTTGATGAGCGACATTGTGTGAATCATCTCAACCGCACAAGCCGCCGGAACCGCCAAACGCTCTTCCCCGCCGACTAGCTCGCAGGCCGCGAGGCAGAGTATTGGCCTGACGCGTTTGCCGCCGGCTAGAACCGCGTAACGCATTGCCTCGTGGATCTTGAGAGGCTCGATGAGTGGAATGGCTTCGTCGAGTGCTCTGTTTATCGACTCTGCTTTGCTTATCATGTATGGATTGAACTCGAAACCGGAACCGACTTCATTGTTTTCTCTTTGGATTGATGAACTGAGAAACTCTCGGACGTCTTGTCTGGAGAAAACGGCGGTGGCTATGGGAGATTTGATCGGAATGTGGAGGAGACGGATTAGCCGCCGTGTATTTGCCGGACTCAGCCGTTGCTTCAGAGTTGCAAACACGAAATGTATAGAGAGGATGAAGAGTAAGAGATAGAGAAAAATGGTTTGAAATTCCATTTTGATGATCAACTGATTATGATTGATTGATCCAATTTAGAATACTTTCTGATGATATTCATGAGCTTCAAAAGCCAAGTTATATATACACACACACACACAAAGTCTTGTAAAACAAGTTTTGGGATATTTTAATACATTAAGAGTATGGAGATTTATAAAATGTCCAACTAGTTGCTTCAAATTCACATCCTCCTAATGGCTTGGTGAATGGTGAAAACTGTTAAACTGAAAATCCGGAAGCAGAACGTTAGAAAAAACAGACTGTTGCTTGAGGGGTGATAGTAACTTTGTTGTAAAGTATACTGAATCGTAGCAAAGACCGGAGAAACGTGTGTCATGTCCCAAAAGGAGAACAGGAACATGGCAGTCTCTTTGGGTTTCATCATCCTTGCACGTTTTTGTTTTTATTTTAGTTTCATGAGGGATTTAATAGTTTTCTCAAGTTTTGTATCAGGCATAATTAATGATTTATTAATGCATGGTATTGGAGGGTGGATGAGATTTGATTGAGGAGAATGGGAGCAGGAGGCTCTCTCTCACTCCCTCCAGAGAAACAAATCCTTTGATATTCTCATATCACATTCTTTTTGATTTCGTTTTTCTCCTTGTATGTTTCCAATTCTCTCTGGATAGATTATAAGTCAGTACTATTATTGCATAGAAAAAAAGTTTTAAAGAAAATTACTAATTACTACTTTCAAAATTACTATTTTCAAAATAATAAAAAATAAAATTACCACGTATTTTTCTTTCTTAGTTCGACGAATAATAAAAACTTTAAATTTAATTGATTTTAGTTTCAATTTTAATTTTATTTTGTCTGAAATAGATATGCAATAAATCAATTGATTTATGTGAATCCAGTATATTTCACTGCTTTTTTGATATTAGTTTTCTTCTGTATTCATCCAGAATAGAACATGAGCAGTAGACTCCCTCTCACCGTCTCACAAAAACGTATTTTGGATCCTCATATCACATAATTCAATTCTTTGATTTTTTTTTTCTCTATTTCCGATTCTCTCTCTGCATATATCACCATAAGTTATTATTATTGCATATAACTTTTTAAAAAAACTACTACTTATTAGCTTCAAAAAATTATTATATTCAGACACACCAAAAAAAATTACTATATTTTCTTTTCTTAGGACAACAAACAATGAAAACTTCAAATTCAGCTGATTCTAGTTCCAGTTTCAATTTGTCTAAATTGGATATGCAATAAAACTGAATAGAACTGATTTTGAATCCAGCAGCTTTATTTATTTTTTTAAATATTATTCTTTAAGTAAATTCAGTTGGAGTTAGTTCCTCTTTTGTCAATCTTAAATCATATAAAATTTGTACATGATTTGCGCATGCATATGCATAATGAGTAATGATGAAATTTCCATAAATAAATATCAATTTAAGAGTTTTATTTAATACATTCAGTAAAAGTTGTTTGCTACATTTGAATGATCGTGAAGTTATGGAAAAACCATGTTTTGATCTCATGGCTCGAAAGTTGGATCCCATTGTAGATGAATGTTTTCCTTATACCTCAACTTTATGAATTTGAATTTAATATTGACAAATAATTACTCTCTCTTGGTACTAAAATTTCTCATCCATGGTTACTCTAAAACATTCAAGATTGATTATCCACTTTGCCACTCCTTACAAGCTTGAAGATTGATGTTGGTTTTGTGGTTGTGAAATTTTGGTTTGAATGATAATATTCGAAAAAGGTGAAAATACAGTAGCCAAATGTTTGGGTGATTGAAAGCTATTACTTTTTCCTTCTTTTGATATCCATTTCTCCTAAGTTTGTTACTCTTTTCTTTCACAGTTTTCTTTTTCTTTTTACAAGCTCATCCATTATTTATTTATCTATATCACAATCATATATGGAAACTTTTTGTTAAATTTTTTTTGAATCGAAGCTATCTTTAAGTACATATATATTTGAGCTTTGAACTGAAGAAATAGGGATAAAAAAAATAGAGGTTTAGACCAATTGACCACAACAGTCCAAGGCTCATGCCCCTTTTCATTCAGACGCCGATTGCTAGATTTATTTTTCACTGCTGAATTTATTATTTACTAGTTAGAAATACTTTTTTTTTGTAGAAAAAACTTTCTAAAATGAATTTCTGTAAAATTTAATGATGTTAATGAAATTCCAAGGGTAATTAAACAGAGAAAATTTTATAAAAACATGAGATAAAGAACAAATTTAACAACCATCTAAGAAAGAAAACCAAAAACAAGAATAAACTGCAAATAGGTACTCAACCAAAAACCCCACACATGGAAAATAAGAGTTTTATTATCTTTTGAGGGATTGATTATTACACCCAAAAAAAAAAGAAGACACAAACACCTCTCAGAAAGGTGAAGGAGGAACTTCAGTGGTGGTTCCAGCTTGAATCTGACCCCAACCAATCAAACGCCAATGCTTCTCCACACGCCGGCTTAGAGCCACTTTCTCTCCTCTGCTGGTGCAAACCGGCGCCGTCAGTTGCAACTTAGCCAGATCGTTCTTCACTCCCACAACTTTGGCTCCAGTCGACATGGAACCAATGTTGAGCATCAGAATCTCTCCCTTTGTCAGCTTCGACACTTTGCCTTGCTTCTCTGACCCCTTTGTTCTCACTCCCAACAGACGCCTTAGAAGAAAGAAGTTCACCTACAAAAAACAAAAAGATTGATTATTATCTACCAAACAAAGAAAGAAAAAAACTCGCAAGAGAGACTATGAAGTATGAAGTATATATCCTACCTCAAGTTCGACAAAGACATCAGGAAGGGAACCGATTTCTCCAAGGACTTGACCAACCAAACGATCAGCACGAGTCAGAGTCGGGTCCATTGTTGTTCCAACTCCAATGAGACCACCAGGAACTGCAAACTGAAGCTCGTTCTGTTCCGCGTAGAGTGAGATGATCCGAGAGTAAATCGGAGTGCACTTTGGGTTGCCACGCTCGTCTTTGACGACAATACCTGGTCGGATTTCAATCAACTGGTTCACTTTCAACACACCCTACAGAATACAAACCTCTAGTTAGAAACGACAATACATAGATTAAAGTTGGCAACTTAAGAGATCAAGAGAGAGAGAGAGATATATATACCCGGAGGATACTTCCACCTGCAACTCCACCTTTAATCTCATCAACCTCAAACCCGGGTTTGTTGACATCAAAAGACCGAATCACTATCATGTTTGGTGGTGACACAAAGTTCCTCTTAGGGATTGGGATCTTCTTGACAATGTACTCGCATACAACATCGATGTTGTACTTCAGTTGTGCTGAGACGGGGACGATAGGGGCACTATCAGCAACAGTGTTCTGCATACACGGGAAAACCAAAACTTATTCTCTCAATCTTAACCAAACAGATGAAATGAGAATATGGAACAAGAGAGGTAAGAAAATCAAAACGAACCATTATGAACTTCTGAATTGCCTCGTGCTGGTTAATGGCTACATTCTCTTGGATAAGATCAATCTTGTTCTGGAGGATTATGATATGCTTAAGCTGCATAATCTCGACGGCAGCAAGATGTTCAGAGGTTTGTGGTTGCGGACAGGTCTCATTCGCAGCAATTAGAAGCAGTGCACCATCCATGATGGCTGCCCCGTTGAGCATTGTCGCCATGAGAATATCGTGTCCCTGAAGAATACAACAACAAAGATATCAACAAAAGAAAAACAAAATCTAATAGTTCTCACCCAACCAAAAACAATATCTCTAAGACAGAGTAAAACGCAAAGATCATTGACATAGGAAATGTTCATAACATCCTTTTGAAAATAGTGATTTAACAAAAATTAAGAGAAGAACAAAACTCTATCATACCGGGCAATCCACGAATGACACATGCCTCAAGAGTTTCATCTTGGAGTTCTCAAATCCAATGACATCACAGTTTGGGTTGTCTTCCTTGCCACTTCCATAGGCCCTAAAATCACAGATAGCTTGTTAAGACTCTCCTACACAATCTTAATACTATTAGAATGTTAAAAAGAGAAAACAAGAACACTTTTGGAAGAAGAGAACTCACTTGTAGCACATTGGTCTAGGGCATTTGTCATCCTCACATTTGTAGATCTTGGCATTTGCATATCCAAGCTTAATGGTAATGTTACGCTCCAATTCATTCTTAAAACGGACAGTCTACACACATGTGGGGGATTCGAGTCGAATCAATCAAACCCTAGAGTGAAGAGGAAACAAGTCGAATCATTAGACACAAAACAGAGCAGTCCATTACCTGAACACCAGAGATAGCTTTCACAACAGTCGACTTTCCGTGTGCGACATGCCCAATGGTCCCTGAGATATACAAAAATGTTATCTTTAGGAGACACAGTGCGGGAGGAGAAAACGCAACGAAACTTCCAAAAACTAAAGCTTTTCTTATATACCTATGTTTATGGTTGCCTGGCGAGAAATAACCTCGGGAGAAAGAGGATGTAGCACAGTTACATCAAGTTTACTTAGATCTTGTTCAGCTAAACCCTTGTTCCGCGACATTGCTCCACCAAAAGGAACCGCCTTTTACCAACAAATAAACCAGGAATCAAAGCGAAATTCACAACCGTCGATTCCGGTAAGCTGAAATATAAACAAAGCACAAGACGTTTCAAAGGCTTCTCCTTTGCATGAATTCAGATCGACATGGCAGATGGATGGAGGGTTAAAGCAGATTAGCAGATTACCTGATCGACAAGTTTCCTTGCTGAAATTCGAGACGCAGAGATATAAAGCTGGAAAGATGACTGTAGATCGGATTCGAAGGTTTCTATACTCTGAAACGGGGTTTTTTCTGATAAAGGACTTTGTTTGGCTACGCTTACGAGAGAAGAGGTTCTGAAAGAGGAGATACTGTATGTTTTGTTAAACATTAGGGTTTTTTTCTTCTGATAAAACGATGTCGTAGTAGGTGAAGAAGCAATGGGCCAAAGAATGAAGAAGCCCACTTCGTAACGGTCACCAATTGGTACATGATTACTCAAATGTTTTCGCGGATGGAACGGACCATGAATTTCTGATACGCCCCAAGATTGGAAGAATAATGGGCCTTATTGGGCCATCGAACTCTTATCTCGTTAGTCGTTACTTTATGTTATTTGTTTCTTTCCTTTGCTCTATATGAAATTTTGAGACTCTTTTGTACAAGGATCAATCCAAAAATATAATTAACTAATAAATTCTGATAACTATGATGTACCACTATCTTCTTTACGCTCAGTACGACCTGCTATTACTACCAATTAAGCTTTTCAGAATCGAACATGATTCACCATTCTCATTGTCTTTTCCGAAGAAATTGTACGGGTAATAAAAAAAAAATTCTCCACTTTACTGTCTCACAGTTGGGCTGATAATGATTCAAGTTGGTTTTTTTTAGCTATTTAGCTAACTGGACCTTAATGAATTTGTACCATTTTCTATTATTGATGTATTAAGATCATCTCCAATGTATTTCTTCATTTTTTACTCTAAAAATAGAATAACTCCAAAATAGAATTGTGTTTTGCTCAAATGTATTTTTCTATTTTCTACTCTAAAAAGGAATATTCTAAATAGATTCTTATTCTATTTTATTATAAATACTTTTTAGTTTTAAAATTTACAAATTAATCCCACTAATATTATTATTTACAATTTTTTTCAAAAACTATAATTTAAATATTTATCAAATAATGAAAATTACATAACATCACAAAAAAGCATATACAATTTTTATTTAAACATTACTATTACTAAAAAAAATTATCATTAATATTTTTTGTATTTATTGTCTTAAATTTATTTATATTGTTTATCTTAATTTCAGCACTTATTATGTATTTTAAAATTTATTATATTTTGTAATTGTTTAGGAATAATTAAAGTATTTAAATATTTATAATTATCAGTTTTATAATATTTTATAAATATTAAATAGTATAAAATATAATTATTTCAAATCTAAAGGATTAATTTACAAATAAAATAGTCTAACTCCAAAATGGAGTAGAATTTAGATCTACTCCAAATATGGAGTAGAATTTAGGTTTACTCTATTTTGGAGTTGAAAATAGAGTAGGATTGGAAAGAATTATACTCCAAAATAGCATTTAGAGTTGAAAATGAAGTAGGGTTGGAGATGCTCTAATTAGCGAATCAGAATCAGTTTACTGAAAGGGAAAATTTAGACACCAAAATATTGGAAAGACTGATTATGACACATCGACTCATCTCAATATGACGGTAAGTAGATAATGTAAATCAGAAGAAGAACTAAAGGTAAAATCGATATATATATATATATCAAATTCCTGTCTTAGCACTTGCAAAATTACTAATTTCTGCTTTTCTCTCACTTTTCTCAGATTGTCGCTTAATTATTTTTCAACTAACTTATTCCACATTTGAGTCTTGCGTAAATAATTTTTTATGTTGATATTGTTGATCCATTTTTTCTTTAGATTCATGGCTTGTTACTATCTATATCAGTAGAAAGTTTGCTATGTTTCGTTAAGCACCTGCGGGATAATTGTTGTCTTGCAAAATTGGGAAGCGTTTGTTTGCTATCGCTATGGGTGGGTTCTTAATCTGGAAAATTTATGCTCAGTAATTTGATTTTGCAATGTTCAAACTTCTCAGTTAACAAGTTTTAGTTTGGATTCATGGTTTGGATTAAAAAAAAACTATATCATAATCAAAAACCTGGAAAAACCATAATATATCATTGTGACTCCTAGATTTAGGCAGATGCGACTAGATGATGTATCTGCGGTTACAGACTTACTCAGTAACTATCTTGCAAAGTTTGTAGTAGCTAGAGACTTTGATTACAATGATATCATGAACTGGTTTCGCCCAAAAAAAAAGTTTGCTTTTGTTTATATTCTTATTGTTATTATAAGCAAAATAAAAACAAAAATAACTATAAAATAAGCAAAATAAAAGCAAAACATGAGTAGAAAATAAGTAAAATAATAGCAATAAAAAACACTAGTTTTATAAGCATTTATCTAAAAAGAAAGTGATTTTTAAATTTTTTTTATAGAGTTGAAAAAAACTAACTTATAAAACATATAATTTTTTAATATAAATGATTATAAATAAAAAGGCATCTAATAAATAGTGAAAAATACAAAATCTGATGACAGTAATGATGAAAAGATGTGACTATAAATGGTGTTTATTCAGTTTGCTATTATTAATAAATTTTTGTATCATTAGTTGTCCAAAAAAAAATAAGTTAAACTTATTATTATTTTATATCTTAGTAAATAAAATTATCATAAGTAGATTTATATAAATTGTAATCCATATAGTTGTAAGAACTCCATAATTTATAGAAATCATAAATTTTAAAAATATTTTTAAATTCACAAAAGGATATTAAATTTTTAAAATTTTAAATAATTCGATTCAAAAATATTTTAAATAACATATACGTATATTAAATTTATATAAAATACGATTCCCCTCCCCTCCCCCTCTTGTGTCATATTACACGAAGTCCGTTGATTTAGGTAAATGTTCAGACATTATAGTCTTTGTTCTTGGATTCATTCAAGTTGAAAATCAAGAACTAGTGCATTGTTGCACTTCCGATCAATAATAATATGACATTGAGTCACTCGTAAAGTTATGTTCTTAATCATGTGGATGACTGATCCGACCTAGTTGGAAGATTTTTTAACAAATCGAATCATATATTATGTTTCACTCCACTCGACTTCTTTCTCTCACACTCAACCTCACTCAGTAACTCTGTCAAATTAACAAGAAACAGAGAAAGCAAGAACACACAAGACTTTGTTTCAATACAATCGGTGTGATTAGACACGTAGAAAAGATATCAATTTCCTTCTCCGATCTACATCATCGTCGACCACTGCTATAAAATTTACAGTTTTTTTTTTCTTTTCTTTTCTGAGAATGCTAATATGCTTTCTGTAATTCACTATTAGATTTTCAGAGTTGCTTTCGATTTTTGGAGAGTTGTATTCTTACTACTTTTATAAGTTGAGAACAAGAGAAGATATAACAGATACAATAGCAACTAGCAAGGCAAAACGGTTGCTTCTTCCGCAAGAAACATCTCTCCAGCGCAAATTTGTAAGCTTATTAGATACTTTTTTCTTAGTAAAAAAAAAAAACTTTTTCTTAGCCAATTCAAAATATCCGATAATAGAAAAACTTTATGAGAATCCAAATATCCGATAATACTTTCTTTCTCTAAAAGAACAAACGAACTTTCTCTAATAAGATGCAGTTTATCAAGTTTCATAATAATCCAAATGAATAGCATCAACACTCTCCCTTGTGACTGATTTAGCAAACCTGGAGACAAGGAGGAGGAGAAGGGACGAGAATGGTTGATCCAGCCTCAATCTGACCGCGACCGATCAAACGCCAATGCCTTTCGACACGGCGGCTTAGAGCCACTTTTTCCCCTGTGGTGGTGCAGACAGGCGCCGTCAGCTGCACCTTCATCATATCTTTCTTCACTCCGACAACCTTAGCTCCCGTCGACATGGACCCGATGTTCACCATCAGTATCTCTCCTTTGCTTAGCTTAGACACTTTCGTTTGCTTCTCTGCTTCCTTTGTCCTCACCCCAATGAGACGCGTCAGAAGCTGGAAACTCACCTCAAGCTCAACATAGACCACAGGGAGAGAACCCATTTCCCCAAGGACTTGACCAACCAACCTGTCCGCACGCGTGAGCGTAGGGTCCATCGTTGTCCCTACTCCGATCAGACCTCCCGGCACCGCAAACTGAAGCTCGTTCTGTTCCGCGAACAGCGAGGTGATACGTGAGTAGATGGGGCTGCACTTTGGGTTTCCAAGCTCATCTTTGCCAACGATACCAGGTCGAACCTCGATAAACTGGTTCACTTTCAACACACCCTGCAACCAAACACAGCAAAGATCAGATTGGTCTCATAAATCGGGAATGAAACTATTGCATACAGCTTCCAACAAGACAGGCCAAACGCGAGGTAAAGAGAGAGAGAATCAGTACCCGGAGGATACTTCCACCTGCAACTCCACCTTTAATGTCATCAACCTGAAAGCCAGGCTTGTTGACATCAAAAGAACGAATCACAATCATCTTTGGCGGCGAGACAAAGTCCCTCCTGGGGATTGGGATCTTCTTGACAATGTACTCGCACAAAACATCGATGTTGTACTTCAGTTGTGCTGAGACAGGAACGATAGGAGCACCCTCCGCATTCGTGTTCTGCACAACAGGGTTTGGTTTTTACATATAGCTGATGAAGCAAGCAAGAGAAAACGCAAAAACTATAAGAGAGATTCAAAAAAAACCATTATGAATTTCTGAATGGCGTCATGCTGCTTCAAGGCGGCGCTTTCTTGGACGAGATCAACCTTGTTCTGAAGGATGATGATATGCTTGAGGTGCATCATATCGACAGAAGCAAGATGTTCAGCGGTTTGTGGCTGAGGACAGGTCTCATTCGCAGCAATGAGAAGCAGAGCACCATCCATGATGGCTGCTCCATTGAGCATTGTCGCCATGAGAATATCGTGTCCCTGATGATTGATACATAATAGGCAAAAGTTATATACTTATATAGGACAAGTAAAAAGTTCCAGTATTTGACTGAGAAGCAAGCTAGTGTAAAAAATCACTATACCGGGCAGTCGACAAATGAGACATGCCTCAGTAGCTTCATCTTGCACTTGTCAAAATCACAAATTGGGTTGTCTTCTTTCCCACTCCCATAGGACCTAGAAATTAACAGACAGGTTACTTAACCAAAGAAGAAGACAAGTTACTCACTCGCTACCTAACCAAAGAAGACAAGCTACTCAGAAGACAAGTTACTCATTCGCTACTTAACCAAAGAAGAAGACAAGTTACTCACTCGCTACTTAACCAAAGACGACAAGTTACTCACTCGCTACTTAACCAAAGAAGAAGACAAGTTACTCACTCGCTAGTCGCTACCTAACCAAAGAAGACAAGCTACTCACTCGCTACTTAACCAAAGACGATGGAGAAAGAAGAGAACTCACTTGTAGGACATTGGTCTAGGGCACTTGTCATCCTCACATTTGTAAATCTTGGCGTTTGCGTATCCGAGCTTAATGGTGATGTTACGCTCCAGTTCATTCTTAAAACGGACAGTCTGCACACGTGTGGGGGATTCGAGTCGAATCAATCAAACCCTAGAGTGAAGAGGAAACAAGTCGAATCATTAGACACAGCACAGAACAGTCCATTACCTGAACACCAGAGATAGCTTTCACAACAGTCGACTTTCCGTGTGCGACATGCCCAATGGTCCCTGAGATATATACAAAACAGTCATCGTGAGCGGGAGGAGAAACAACTCAAAAGACGGAACTTCGAAAAACAAAACTAAAGATTCTTATATACCAATGTTAATGGTTGCCTGGCGAGAGATAACCTCGGGAGAGAGAGGATGTAGCACAGTTACATCAAGTTTAGCTAGATCTTGTTCTGCTAAACCCTTGTTCCGTGACATTGCCACGAAAAGGAAACGCCTTTACCAACCAAAAACAAGGAATCAATGAAAATTTTCAAAAGCGTAGATTCCGGTAAGATGATTTACATAAACAACACAACAATCTGTAGATGAATTTCGACATACCTGGTAGATGAATTTCGAGACGCAGAGCTGTAGAGATGATCGGAGATGGCAAAGATGAGAGAAAACGGTATGTTTATATTTAGGTTTTCTTCACGATGTTGTAGCAGGTGAAGAAAAAAAAATCAATGGGCCAAACAATGTATATTTTAAATAAAAAAGCCCACCCACTCAAAATTAATCAAACTGAATCGAATACAAACTAAACTGAATTAAGTTTGGTTAGAGTTTCAGTAAAATTGAACTAACTCGAAAAATAAACCAAGATGCCCATTCCTAGTTTCTATGGGTGAACCGTGTTGGTTGAAGGAGATTTTCAAAGATGAATTGCCAATTACCTCGGTGTAGTTAGTTCTCTTTGTCTCCGGTATATCATAATTATCATTGGCTTTAGTTTTATTTTTATATTTAGGTTATAACATAAAAAAACAACATTCATTTAGATGAATTTCAGAGAAATCTTAAAACCAAATTACTGATAAACAAAAAACAATATATATATTATTAAAAGAGGATCCTAAATTTAAATTAACCTTTGTCTAACGTGTTATTTACAAGTTTTAACATTATATTTACTAAAGAATTTCATAATTCATTAAAGGTATTTTTGTCTTGAACGTTTTTTAGTCCTAAACTAGAAGTCTATAGTATTTTAAATGCACAATATTGAATAGAATGATGATTTACAAATTGTATCATTTATGATTTGAATCAAATTATGTTTTTTTCTTTGCTTGAACCGGAATTTTTAAGTCTAATTTTTACACTCCTGATATTAAATATCAAATTTTCAAAGTCAATTATCAGAAATGAATTGTTCCCTTCAAACATCAGAATATTTCATATCAAAAAAACATAAGTCGATATTGTGTAAAATGCATGAAAATTTGAAAATCAAGCAATGAACTAAAATGAGTTGTATTATCCATCCTATCAAAGACTTTAACCAAATATTTGAACCAAATACAAGAAATGAAATGCATGATAACGAATATCAAGCTATGAACTGTGTCCAAATAGATTAGTGGGAATTTTAACGGCTTAACAAATTAGACCATATATATTAATGAACTATTATTGTTAATGTATGTATATGAACATACATCGTTAACATCGTTAATAGTGATACAAAGTATTTTATAAATACATTAAACTATACTTAAATTGAGTATAATACTATCGCATTTTCTAAAAACATATTAAATTTAAAATTTTCTGAAGATCCGATGATATCATCACCCAAAATTAGTATCCTAGATTTTAAATTAGATATCCGTTTCTATAATAACCAAATCTTATAAAACTAGAATTCTCTAAAGTTATGGTGATATCATTTAAATATTACCAAACAAAAATCTTCCAAATGCATTCAAACCAATTATCCGATCTTCTCAGTGTATATTCTGTTTCAATGTATTTATCCCTAATCTTGTGTTAAATTACTTTCAAACTATACAAACTAGATTATTCTTTACCATATATATTTCGCTTAAATATAGATATATTTCAGTTAGAGAAAAGATTGCATTCTTATCAAATCTAGACAATCTCTGCGTGTATATATAGTAAATATATTGCTCACTCAGAAAAGTAAACAAAAATACATCTAAACACATCATTCTCAAAGTAAACAAAAATATATGCTATCATAGTCCCGACGAAATTGAGTTGTAAGTCTATTTTACTAACCTTTCTGATGTAAAACCTTTCAAGATAAGATAGTGAATCTGTGTAAAAGCCATCCGTTCTTCAAAGCAGTACACGGCAGAATCTGGTGAAACTCACGGCACAATCTGGTGAACCTCTGGAACTCAAACATCTAACCAGTTTTCAGTGGTTCATTCAATTTCTTCTTGGTTTGTAGGTTTTCAAGTTATATTAAGTTTAATTCATTTTGACTAATAAATCTAATATTTGGTATATATAACCTTTTAAACAAACTGTTTATGGTCTCTGCAGATAATAGTGGCGAAGTAGCAGATGTTACAGATTTTTAAAATGTTCAAGTAAATGGAAAAGAAAGAACATATACTGAGTTTTTTCTAAGTGCCACTAAGTAAGTTTGTTAAAATGTTTTATCTATTCTATATTTATATGGTATCTAATAACTACCAATTTAGAGTTATCAATACCTACTTCATTTGAGAATAAGAACACATCGATGTTGTTGCTCTCACAGGAGATATTTGTTGTTTTGTTCAGCAGGAGATCTTCAAATCACTGATGCATTTGATGCATCTAAAATCCATGGTCGATAAAATTTTCAGAAAAGGTTAGTGTATTTCATAAACATACTGTAAGTCAATATGTATAGTAGATTGCCTTTATTTATCATTTCATACAGAAATCTTCGATTGATTCTCTGATTTCCAGACAGGTAATGAATGATACATAATTTGCATCTATGTAAGCAACGTTTACTTAAATCTATTTGATACCATATATATTACATATCTGTAATAATATTATGAGAAATGCTCACAATCTAATAAGAATGAAGTTTAACTTACACCAAAACAGGCTAGAAAGGAAAAGTATGTACAATTTAAGAGATTCAATAATTATATGATGGAAACTAGGTTAAAATAGATGTCCTAGAAGCCACGGAATGCTGTATAACCTAACAGAAGAGGGAGAGATAGGGGACTTACATCAGACTTTTGAAGTTGATGGCAATACAAGAAGAAGGGAACTTAAATAAATACTTCAACTCAATCAATCAACGACATTAGAGAGATCAGATATAATAACTCAATAAAATCCCAATTCAATTGAAACATTCAGCGAAAAGTGATCTCAAAACCCAAACATGCATCTAAACTATAGTTGTCCGTTCATTGAAATTTTTTGCAAAAAATAACATCAAATTCGTGAACCAGATCGATCAAACTAACTTCAATTGACCTAAACTATCAGCTTAACGAAACATACGCCACGAGCCACGAGACATATTATCTCCCTTCCAAATCCAGAACTTGCCTTGAATCATACTAACCTCTACTCGCCCTTGCTCTGAATTACAGAAATTGAACATAACGTGGAATTTTCCTAAAAGCTTAAAAGATTTTAGGAATATGCAGAGAGAAAGATTGAATCAGTGGATCAATGTTTGTTCCTTATTTGCTTTGATGAACTTTTTGCGTTGATGTTTCTTAATTAATAATTAAACGAGTTAAACGATAGTATGATCACTTGACCACACAAAAAAGCGATACAATGATCATAGTATTGTACATTTGTGTTTAATGAAATTTAATTACAACATAGGTTTTGGTGGTGTTTAGTTATTTAACAAAAGGTTTTGGTGGTGTTTAGTTATTTAACAAACCTTAATCAACAACAAAAATGGACCAATCATTTATTTTTTCATATTATAAATCACTTTTTTAATTGTTTTATATATCTTTTTCAAATTTCCCTTATCATCTTAGTTATTTTTTTCTCATTTTTCCTTTCCTTTTGTTTTTATTACATATAATATGGTATGTTTTTATAATATATATTTTTTAATTTCTTTTTTATTTACTACCACTTTTATTTCTCCTCTTTGTTGAATGTATATTTTTTAGAATTATGAACAATTCAAAACTATCTACAAATTTCTTATTTGATAGTTGTAACATGTTAAAATATTAGAAATTTATCCATATAGAAAGAAATTACTTTTATTCTCATAAATGAAATGAGATGAAATTAAAATAAAAATTTACAAACAGGTTATAATTTAAAATTAAAATTTTGAAGAAAACAAAAAAAATATAAATAAGAAAGACAAAATCTAAGATTGACAATACAATACGAAAAAAATCAATGATTTTAAATATAAATTTTATAGTTATAATAGAATTACAGATGCATGTTAAAATTTATTTATTTAGTGGATCAAAATGGGCATTTTACATTTTAATAGGTATAGATATAACATGTTAAAATATTATAAATTTATCCATATAGAAAGAAATTACTTTTATTCTCATAAATGAAATGAGATGAAATTAAAATAAAAATTCACAAACGTGTTATAATTTAAAATTAAAATTTTGAAGAAAACAAAAAAAATATAAAGAAGAAAGACAAAATCTAAGATTGACAATACAATACGAAATAAATCAATGATTTTAAATATAAATTTTATAGTTATAATAGAATTACAGATGTGTGTTAAAATTTATTTATCCAGTGGATCAAAATGGGCATTTTACATTTTTAGGAACTAGAAAAAAATAATATTTTTCCAATTTTGAAACAAAAAAAATTGGATCTAAAAACAAAAATATGAATTTGGGTTACAAGAACTTCTTTAACAATATAAACATGTCTTATATCTGGTCTAATTTAATTTTGTAAAAAAAACCGCGTATGGACGCGGATTTAAAATCTAGTTATAAATTTAATTTGAGTAGTTAAAGTAGTTTTTTCACATTCTTGTCTCCCATTACTTATCTTACTTCTCAGTTACACTAGAAAATATAGAAATAAAGCTTGAACTGACTAATAATGACTGTTTGGTCAAATATCAAATATTAGAACAATGGTGAAATGTTTGCAGAGAGAGGTTTCGAAAGATGATATATGTTTCATCGACGCAAAATGATGTCGCATCAGTGACCTGTTTGTGTTTGCTTGTATGCAGTGCTAGAGCATCTCTATCAATGTATCTAGCTTAAGTATTTTAATTTTAAAAAAATAATAATAGAAAAAAAGAGACAAAGATACATTTCTCAAACAAGAAAATTTGAGATATAAAAATCTTGGTTTACTTCTTTTAATTTTAAGTTTAATTATATTTGAGATATAAAAAAATTATATTTCATTATTTTATTTTTTTACTTCTTTTAATTTGAGATATATTTATAATTCATTATTTTATTGGTTTAATTCTTTTAATTTTAAGTTTAATTATATAATTTAATTTTATAAATATAATATTGACTAGATACCTCTTTAAGCAATGAATTGTTAGAAATGCGCTTAGAGATATTTCACATTAGAAATGAGATAGATGATCATTTATCAAGACATGATTCACTTCATTTTATACCAACAATTTTGAAGCTGAAAGCCCCCTAAAAGCATCATTATTGGAGGATTCTTACAAGAGTATTTCATTATTAAAAAAGGAAAAACAAAAAAAAGGTTCTCCAAATATTTTATTTGAGAACTGATTTTCAACTTATTGAGATATCACTTGTACATTTATCCTTTTTGATTGCTTCTAATTATTTTAAATGTTTAAACTTATTATACATATTAAAATATTATACTTTATGGTTGAAATATACTTTTTAAGAACCTTAACCGATGTATGTGCTCTAATACTAATTTATTATATTTTAACGAGACCAATATTGATTATGATTGTTCAAAAACTGTTGTCACATGATGTATAAAACTATCAAATGGGCATTCAACCCTACTCTTCTCGTGATATTTATTAATTTTACCAATTAATGCAGATTTTTGTAGTATTATACGTGCATGAATGTTTATATACACATGACATGTATGATGAACATGTACATATCCCCCACAACCCTACCACACACACAAAAAAACATCCATTAAAAACTGTCTACCACCAAACTCACTTCTTATTTATGTATTAAAATCCAAAACAAATTTATAGTACAAGTTAGTTCCTTGCCTCTGTTTTATGAATTTGATAGAATTCATAAATCCAATTACTGATAAACAAAAAAATATATATACAATTTAACTTAAGTAGTTCAAGTAGCTTCTTTCACATTCTTGTCTCCCATTAGTGATCTTACTTCTCAGTTACACTAGAAACAAATCTTCATTTGACTAATGATATTGTTTTTGGTCAATTTTCAAAAATTAGAACAATGAGTGAATGTTTGGAGACCAACCAAAATTTCCAATGTGACTAAGAAGTAAGAACCCTACATATGCTAATGAATCTCCCCATATTAATCTAATTTCTTTCTAATGAAATAACACAAATCTTCAAACACAAACTTAGAGAGAACTAATAAAATTTTAACAAGAAGAATATATTAAACAAAAAAAAAAACTAGACATGGGATGTTGTAGAAGGATGAACAACCTTGTTTTGTCTCCCTGCAAGCCAAAACATGGTCCTTCTAGCAAAAGATGGCGTTTTCGTTTCTAAAGATTCCGAGTTCTCGCTCTTTTGAGACTCTTCATCATTCTTCGTCTCGTGAGGATTTGTTTGGTTCGGAAATCGGATTGAAGAGGAAGACACAGAAGAACATTCATGATCTCTACTATAACCACTTCGACACTTTTGCTTCTCCTTTTTACCCCTTAGCCAAATTTTCGACAAAGAAAAGCTCTCTCTTTCCACAACACTCTTCCCATTTCCCTTAACCGTTGGCTCAAAACCGCGTTCCGACATAACTACCCTATGGTCTCTGTCGGATAGTTTCTTGGTCGACACATGAACCTTGAGTGTAGCTTCTTGGTCCATAATATACTCATACGATCCCATTGAAAAGCACCTCCTTTCATCTACAATGCTATTCTTGCTAACACTTCCTTCACCAACATGATCTACGTTCCTAAACTTCCCTAGCTTAACTTCTAAAGGAACAACCTTTTCATCTAAACCATCCAAATCACCACCCGGGTCGCATGATTTACGACCCGACACGAACCGGGTCGACCCAAGATCACTAGTCTCAGGAACAGAAACCATATCTCGATCACTCGCGGACTCGAGAACAAAGAGATAAGAGAAGCTTGGATTGTGACGAGATGAGAAATCAGAGAGGAGGAGATTGGATCTGCAAAGGGGACAAGTCGAGTGTGAGAGGAGCCACGTGTCGATACAATCAACGTGAAAGGCGTGGCTGCATTTGGGCAAGAGCCTGAGCTTGTCCTCTGTTTCGAACTCGCAGAGGCAAACAGGGCAATCGAAAGATGAAATCTTGAGACCGATGATGGATTTGTAATGGAAAACGGGTAACGTGTCGATTAACGATTGGTCGACGCCGGAATCGTGGAGGTGGAAGAGTTGCTGAAGCTGGCCTTGAAGAGCTGTGACGTTGTCGTCGAAGTAATCTCCTCTGTTTCGCGTCGATGGTGTGAGGAGGAATTTGACGAGGATGTGGATTAGACCGGAGATGAAGAAGATGATCGAGAGGATTATGATTGTTAGGAGAACGTTTGGGCTGATTTTGCTGCTTAAATCGAAGCTTGTGTTTGATCGGAGTGGTGGTGGTTGTGGTGATGAAGGGGAGATGAAATTCTGGGTTGATTTGATTTCCGGGAAAATTAAGTTCATGTTTTCCCGAGAAAATTTCATCATGGATGTGGAAAGAGAAAACAAAGTGGAAGAAGTTAGTACCAAAAACTCAAGCTTTCAATGTTTGTTTCAGAAAATTTTCTCGGGGAAAAAAACAGAGGTTATTAATGCAAGCTCTGTTTTCTGAGATACTCCTATTGGTTTCTCATGAAATTGAAAGATGAGAGAAGAGAAAAAGTTTAAGCACAAAGTTTTTTTTTGAAATTTATGAGACAGAGTGATGATTAAGAGAATTACAGGTTGGACCATTGATGGTGACAAGTGAGATCTTTTTTTGCATTTTAGTATATTTTTTTCTTTGAACTATTTTTAAAAATTACAGAAATTAATGGGATTTGGATCTTAGTATGGAATTGCCTAAATGAAATGGAAAGTCAACGAAACATTTCTTTAAATAAAGAGAGTAATCAAAATCACTTCCCTTCATGAATCATGAATGAAAATAATATCTTATGATTTTATAAGCAAACCCAGGCCATCCATGTTATAGCCAACCGGACAAAACAATATAAATGTTACAATCCATAAGAAGAAGAAAAAACAAATTTCTGATAATATGTAAAAAAAAAATCCTACTTTGGATTCAAAATAACATTGAAATCAAAGGTCAAAGCATGTAAGGGACAATGAGATGTCCATGTATCTTTGTCTAAGTGGTCATTCCTAAAAACAGAAAATCATCCATAACAATAGATATTTATTCATACAGTAGCTATAAAACTAAAATTTATTTAGAAATATTGCCTAAGAAAGAATATATTGTAAACCCTGGTCCAAGAAACTCTAAAGAAGAAAGAAATATTGTTAATTTATAAAAATAAAGTTTATAGTATTTCGTTTCAATATTTTAGGTCGTAAACAAACACTCGATCTTAAAAAAGGAGAAACACGAGAGAGAGGAACAGGACGACAACATGGAAGAAGGTTCTATGCTTCTTTGTTTTTTTTTTTTTTTTTTTTTTTTTTTTGTTTTGACTCGAGGCAAATCTGGTCTTGTGCATGCTTAGTAATTTTTTACTATATGCTTAGTAGAACAATATACATAAAAGAATAAAATATACACACTTTCTCCAATTTTGTTCTTTAAATCATTTTGGTTTCTGATTTTTTTTTGTTTGTTTTACTGGTACATAAATTCAAACCGAGGTTACGTACTGAACTTATGTCGAACCAAAATCCAACAAATTTGTCAGGAAGTAAGTATTGATCGGTTTAACACTATATGATAAATCTTAATATCTTATACTAAAATGGGATTTCAAATCTCTTTTGATAAAATGAGTTTAAACTTCGTATTAGTATACATGGAAGACAGGTATATGTATTCAACTTGTCACTTGTTCCATCATGTATTGGTAATTAGTAATACAATAAAACCTCTATAAATTAATAATATTGAAACTCTCAAATTTTATTAATTTATAGAGTTATTAATTTATCGATAAATTAATAAAATATTAATTTATAGAGGTATTTTTAGTTTGAATTTTTATTATTCATCAAAAAATAAAATTAATATTTTCAACATTGCAAAATTCATTCAAGAAATATCATAATAATGAATTTAGAAAATAAATCAAACAAATTTTATAAATTTGAAACAACAATATTATCATAGTTTAATATATTATATTATTAATATATACCCAAATGTATAATTATTAATTTATATTATTATTGGGACCATATTTTTACATAAAACTTTCAAAAAAGTATTATCTTATTATCTTATCGAATTTTGTCAATTTTTACACTGGTCCAACTTGGAACCGGCAAAAATTATTAATTTATAGTAATTATTAATTTATCGAGTATTAATTTATAGATGTTCTATTGTACAAGTCCATCATTAACTTCACATATTACAAAGATTATAGTAGTATTAAAAATATTATTGTAATGACAGTAGCTGAAGTATAGAGCCTAACTTTCTCAACCGTATACTAGTATAATTTGTTCAAAAGTCAAAAAAAAAGTTATCCAAGATATATTTTTGTGTTTGATCGACTTTGTGAGGTCAACTAAAAAAAAATACATTTGTTGTAGGCTTGTAGCCTTTAGAAAGGCTCACGAATTGAAGGACTTTACTAGAAAACAATTCACTTGAATAGGTGAATATATTTTTGTTAGGTCGATTGTAGAAGATAATGGTCCGAAAGCTCGCTTTACTTTTTGATGTATAGACAATTTTATGATTTTTGTTTCCTAGCATTTTACACTATGTATAGTTTCTACAAGATTTTTTTAGTCATACGATTTGAACTTTTGATTCAGTTTTTTACGAGTGTAATAGTTGTTCGGTTCAGAAGAAAGAAAACCGAATTTAGCTTACTTTCGTTTGTTCTTTGGATTTGGCCACTTCGATTGGGAAATAAGCTCTTCAATTAATTTTGGTTTGGTTTGATTGGACCAAGTGTTTCTTGTTGTCGGATTCCAAATTCGCATAATAGTTATTGCAACAAAGTGTCACATCTATTTAATTATGTGTAGTCAAATAAAATATTGAAATACAGCTACGCCCAATTCATGAAATAATTTGAGATTCACCCCATGAAACTCTGTAAATTTAAAGAACACTTTAGAAATAGGCTGTTGTTAGTTGGGTGAACATATATATATTCTAATTTCTACCTCAATCTTATTAATATGAACTAAAATGTGGAGATTGCATATTAGTCTCATACACAAACATTTTGTACTCTTAAAAGAATACGTCAATCAATTTTTTTCGTTACAATATACAAACTTTAAAAATTGTTATCAATATTTAAATATTCTATCATGAAAAACAGAGTTATCTTAATCGGATATATATTTTTCAATAAAACTATCTATAATAAAACTATCTATACTATTAAAAAAGAATCATATTTTTAAATTAACTTTTAGTTAACATGTTATTTACAATATATACCATTAAATTTCTAAATATTCATTAAATGTAATTTAATCTTATCATTAAACTGTTAACAAATATATTAAATTAAATTAAATTAAATTAATTTGTTAATATATACTACCAATAAATCATATCAGATAATACTCCTATTCTAAAACACGGTCGTAGAGGACGTTTAAACGGCGGAAATTCGCTCGACGGACCGGAGCCGCCACAATTTCAACATGTTCGGTCAAGAAATCGGAAGTTATGAAAAAAAACTCACATTTTTGCTCATTTGAACTTGTAAATCGAATATTTACACTAGATTTATAAGATTGTGATGCAAACAGAATGAAAAACAAAAAAAATGGTGAAAAAACGAAGAATATAAGAAGCCGCCGTCGATAAATCTAAAATTTAGTTGTAGAAAAAAAAACTTTTGGAAGAAGAAGAGGAGAAAATGACTGTTTTCCCCTCTATTAAAGATTATATATAAAATAACTTCCAGATTCGACTTTCGTGGTTCGAACATTGAACTTGTATTACAAGGGCGAAAGACCTAACCACTAGGCTAAGCCATCTTTCTGATAACTGCTCCAGAAATATAGTATATATAACCAATAAACAAATGAAGCCCTAAAATAAATCCCCGATCAATCTCCGTTGAATCACCGATTAGTTGATTACGCACTAGGCGATCAAGCACCGTCCGAGGAACGCCTAACGCGTTTCATAACAGAGGATAATACCAATAAATCATGTTTGATACTAATAAAATTCAAATTAATTTATTTTTAAAATTATTTAAAATCTTTCATAATATCTTAACATAATTATCACATATTTATGGCATGAATAACTAAAATAATTATATATATATTATAAGATAAATTAAATATTTATTATATTATAATCAATTTCTTCTCTATAGTATTAAAAAAAACATTATATTAAAATTTTAAAAATTATTATAGTATTTACAAAAATGTGATAATTTATAGTCAATAATGAATATATAATCATTATTCTTTGGTTACATATATACATACTATGAAAAAAAATTATGTAAATAATTTAGTTTTTCTGGTTTGTTAATGAATTTTTAGCGGGAAATTATAGGTTTGCAGATTTGACAAACACAATTTTATAGATTTTACGGGTTTTATAAATTTTAGCAGAAAATATAGTTTTCCGAGAAAATGACAGTTTGACAACAAATGTGCTTTTGTAGATTCAGCAGAAACACATAATTTTTGAAATTTGGTCGCAAATCACGATTATGCAAATGTTACGGGTTTATGGGAAAATATAGGTTTGCGAGATGCGAATAACGCAATTTTGCGGATTTTATGGGTTTTACAGATTTTAGCAAAAAATGTAATCATACAGAAAAATGCGGGTTTGTGAGTTTGGCAGAAACACATGAGTTTAGAAATTTGGTTTTTATGGATTTTACAATATTACGGAAAAAGTTAATTTTTTTGGATTTGGCGGAAAACATGATTTTGCGGATATTACGAAGTTTTATAGGTTTTGATGGAAAATGTGGTTTTATTGATTTTATTGAAAATGCAGGTTTGCGGGTTTGACACAAAATGTAATTTTGCAGATTCGACAAAAACTACTTAATTTTAGAAATTTAGCCATAGAATACGTTTTTATGGTGTTGGGGGAAAACATATTTTTTTGGTTTTGTTAAAAAAAATGTGGATATACAGTTTTGGCAGGAAAATACAGTTTGATGGAAAATGCTATTTTTACAGTTTTTACTGGAATTTTCCGTTTTGGTACAACAACGTGACTTTACGATTTTGCCAGAAAATGCAGCTTTTTATTTCGATAGAAAAAAATGGTTTTGACAAAAAAAACTTGATTTTGTGGTTTAATTAAAAGATGTTTTTATTTGTTAATTTTTGAGATTCAAATGCTGCATCAAATCTCTATTTTTTTAGTATTTTAAATATTCAAATTTTGAGATATTATAGAATTTGTATTCAGATAAAATATTCATATACTGATTTAAAAATACTTAAAAGAATTTTTTTTTTGAGCATTTGCACCCAAATAAGTATCTGGAGGCAAAAACTAACAAAGCTTAAGAATCTTAATTACAATCAAATAAAACCTCTCTTGCATTATAAAACATAATATTTTAAAATATTTGTTACAAAATTTAACAAAAATAAATCTGCTAATCAAAATATTTTTTTTATAAAATCAAGCCTAAATAATATTAAGAACATAAAACCATAGTATTAAAATAGTTTATATAATCTAATAAAAAATTTCCGTTTGGACCACAATTTTAGATTTAATAATATAAGCTAATTTGTTTTTTGAATAAAAGTTTACTATAAACCAATTTTTGCTATGATCCAAAAATATTTTATAAACAAAACCGCGCAAGTGCGCATGTCCAAAATCTAGTCTATACTATTAAAAGAGAATCTTTCTCTGAAAATGTTCAATTCTTATAATGATATTTACTAAATGTGCCATTATATTTACTAGAAAATTTCATTAATTCATTAAGGGTAACTTAATCATATTATTAAAATGTTAACAAATGTATTAAATTAAATTAAATTAAATTAATTTGTTAACAGGTAATGCCAATATTAATTAAATTAAAATTAATTTCAAAATTATTTAAAAATCTTGCGTAAGTTTGTTTAATATAATATGAATATATATTTAAATTATTTATATGATATGAATAGCTAATATATTATATTATAAATTAAATATATATTATGTTATAAGTAATTTGTTTTTTATACTATTAAAAGAGAAGCACTACTTTCAAATGTCTACAAGCTACTATGATATTTATTAAATGTGACCATTTATAATCAGTGATGAATATGTAATTATTATTTTTTGGTTACATATATACAAATTATGTAAATAACATTTTTTCTGGTCTGTTAATGATTTTGTTTTGCAAAAAATTTTGGGTTTGCAGATTTGACAAACAAAATTTTGTAGATTTTAGGGGTTTTACAAGTTTTAGCGGGTTTTATAAGTTCAAGCGGAAAATATAGTTTTACGAAAAAATACCGGTTTGACAAGATATATACTTTTGTAGATTTAGCGGAAACACATGATTTTAGAATTTTGGTCGTAAACAATGATTTTGAAGATTTTATGGGGTTTACGAAAAACATGGGTTTGCGGAATGCGAGTAACGCAATTTTACGGATTTTATGGGTTTTAGAGATTTTAGTGGGAAAATGTAGTCATACGGGAAAATGCGGGGTTGTGTGTTTGGAAATTCTATTTTGCACGTTTTGCAAAAACACATGATTTTAGAAATTTGGTCTTAAAACACGATTTACGGAAAAACATGAGTTTGTGGATTTGGCGGAAAACGTGATTTTGCGGATTTTACGAGGTTTATATATTTTGGCGGGTTTTATAGGGTTTGATAAAAAAATATGGTTTTATTGATTTTAATCAAAATGCAGGTTTACAGGTTTGACAAAAAATACGTAATTTTAGAAATTTGGCAATATAATACGGTTTTATGGTGTTAGGGAGAAACATAATTTTTGATTTTGTTAAAATTGTGGGTTTGTAGTTTTGCCAAGAAAATACGGTTTGATGCGACTAACGTAATGTTGCAGATTTTATAAGTTTTACAGGTTTTAGTGGGAAAATGTAGTAATACGGAAAAATGTGAGTTTGTGGGTTTGAAAAATTCAATTTGCACGTTTGGCAAAAACACATAATTTTAGAAATTTGGTACTAAAACACGATTTACAGAAAAACATGGATTTGTGATTATGGCAGAAAATATGATTTTGCGAATTTTACGAGGTTTACATGTTTTGGTTGGTTTTCTAAGTTTTGATAGAAAAATGTGGTTTTATTGATTTTAATGAAAATGCTGGTTTGCAGGTTTTGACGAGAAACACTATCATATAGATTTGACAAAAATACGTAATTTTAAAAATTTGGCTATAGAATACGTATCTATGATGTGGGTGGATTGGGGGGAGGAACATAATTTTTGATTTTGTTAAAAAATATGGGTTTACAGTTCAGAAAAGTACGGTTTGATGAAATCGCTGATTTTTTTGAACAAAAATTTAATATAAATTAATTTTTCTTAGCCTAAAAATATTTTATAAAAAATCCAAAATCTAGTATATACTATTAAAAGAGAATCATTAATTTGAAATGTCCAAAAGCTACCGTGGTATTTACTAAATGTGTCATCGGATTCACTAGAAAATTTAATCATTTCATAAAGGATAATTTTGTCTTATCATTAAATTGTTAACAAATGCATTAAATTAAATGAAATAATATCAGTTTGTTAACAGATAATACCAATAAGTTATATCTGCTACTAATAAAATTTAAATTAATTTAATTTCCAAATTATTTTAAAATCTTTCATAATATCTTAACATAATTTCATAATTTTTGATTTTGTTAAAAAATATGGGTTTACAGTTCAGAAAAATACGGTTTGATGAAATCGCTGATTTTTTTGAACAAAAATTTAATATAAATTAATTTTTCTTAGCCTAAAAATATTTTATAAAAAATCCAAAATCTAGTCTATACTATTAAAAGAGAATCATTAATTTGAAATGTCCAAAAGCTACCATTGTATTTACTAAATGTGTCATCGGATTCACTAGAAAATTTAATCATTTCATAAAGGATAATTTTGTCTTATCATTAAATTGTTAACAAATGCATTAAATTAAATGAAATAATATCAGTTTGTTAACAGATAATACCAATAAGTTATATCTGCTACTAATAAAATTTAAATTAATTTAATTTCCAAATTATTTTAAAATCTTTCATAATATCTTAACATAATTACCACATATATATGGCATGAATAACTAATTATATATATTATATTATAATCAATTTTTCTTTGTACTATTAAAAAAAAATAACTACTTTAAAATATCTAAAGTAGATGTGACAATTTATAGTCAATAATATGATATTTTTTAAATGTGACAATTAATAGTCAATAATGAATATGTAATCAATATTTTCTGGTTACATATGGTTTGTTAATGATATTTTTTTGCGAGAAATCATGGGTTTGGAGATTTGACAAACACAATTTTGTAGATTTTACGGGTTTTACAAGTTTTAACGGATTTTATAAGTTTTAGCGGAAAATATATTTTTACGAGAAAATACTGATTTTTGACAAGAAATGTGCTTTTATAGATTTAGCAGAAACACATAATTTTAGAAATTTAGTCGTAAATCATGATTTTGCAGATTTAGAGGAATTACAGGAAAACACGGGTTCGAAAATGCGAATAACACAATTTTGCGGATTTAAAGGGTTTTAACAGATTTTAGCGGAAATATGTAGTCATATGGGAAAATGCGGATTTGTGCGTTTGGAAACTTGATTTTGCAAGTTTGGCAGAAACACATAAATTTAGAAAATTGGTCGTAAAACACGATTTTACGGATTTTACAATTTTACAGAAAAACACAAGTTTGTGGATTTGACGTGAAACATGATTTTGCGAGGTTTAGATGTTTTGGCGGATTTTATAAGTTTTGATGAAAAAATGTAATTTTATGGATTTTATTAAAAATGTAAGTTTGCGGGTTTAACGAGAAGCGCAATTTTGCAGGTTTAACAAAAACACGTATTTTAGAAATTTGGTAATATAATTCGGTATTATGGTGCTGGGGAGAAACATAATTTTTGGTTTTGTTAGAAAATTTGGGTTTATAGTTTTGGTAAGAAAATACGGTTTGATGGAAACTGCCATTTTTACAGTTTCTACGGGAATTCCCGATTTTTGTACAACAACGTGATTTTACGATTTTGCAGGAAAATGCGGCTTTTTATTTTGATAGAAAACTCTAATTTTATTGTTTTGACAACAAAAAACCTGATTTTGTGGTTTAAATTAAAGGGTGTTTTGGTCTTATAATTTTTAAGATTCAAATGCTGCATTCAAACTCTATTTTTTTAGTATCTTAAATATACAACTTTTGAGATATTATAGATTTTTTATCCACATAAAACATCTATATACTGATTTTAAAAAATAATATTTGAGCATTTGCATCCAAATAAATATCAGGATGCAAAAACAAACAAAGTCTAAGTAAATAATGAAATCTTAATTACAAACAAATAAAATCTCTTTTGCATTATAAAACATAATATTTTGAAATATTTGTTACAAAACTTAACAGAAAATCCGCTAATCAAAATATTTTTTTTATAAAATCAAGCCTAAATAATTTTAAGAACATAAAACCAAAAATGTAAAAATAGTTTTTATAATCTAATAAAAAATTTTAGTTTGGGCCACAATTTTGGATTTAATAATATAAGCTGATTTTTCTTTAACAAAAGTTTAGTATAAACCGGTTTTTGCTATGGTTCAAAAATATTTTATGATTGCACAGGTCCAAAATCTAGTTTTTAATTAATGTAAGAACATTTTTTTTTCTTAAACTTTTTTTTCTTAAAGTTCAACAGAAATAGTGGAATTCTTATTTGAAGCACTATGTTTTTCATTACAAAAGTAGATCATCCATACATATAATTTAGTAAGGTTATATATCAGTTCCATTCGATTTATTGGAATAGTATTAGTACCACGCACGACATCATCTCTTTATTTCACCCTCCTTTGCTTGGAGCGTATATAAACTTCACATCCTGCAGAGTATAAGAATAATTGTAAATTAATCAAAAAATTAAATTCATTAGAATAGGTAAAAAATGCAGTTCATGCAAAGTAGTGACATTTTTTTTTTATAGAAATTTGATCAAACGTTTCCCTAATTTTTGGGAACACATAATTTATAGATCTATTTTATTTTTCCGTCTTAAAAAGTTATTATTATTTTTTTTATAACTTAGAGTACATCCCAGACCTATGGAAGGGTCTAGACTAATCTCATGTGGGAGGTGCAGCTCATAGATAGATTCTCTCTCCGGATATTCAAATGAGCTGAAAGCATGGACCCATATCCATATGGCCAAATGAGATTAATCTAGCAATTTCGTACTTGAGTGAAATCGATCCCTGACCTTGACCAACAGGGCAACTCCTCCTCAGATGGAAACCATTAGACCACCACCACTTGGTTTAAAAAAAAAAAAAAATTTATTTTCCCCTTTACCTTAGATACGATGATGATGCATTAGATTTCAAGAATGTAACTTACGGTGTGTACTCGACGCGGATGTTACCGGCATCAGTATTAGCAATGACCCGAAAAGCGTCACGAGAGAGATTAAGATCGCCATTGCATGGCTCCCGGCAGAAATCAACTACCTTGACGACTACGGTACGTCCGGTGCACGCTCCCGGATAATTATATGTAGCACCAAGGCATCGAACCCTGTACCTCCGACCACAAGCTCTACTTCCTTGCCACAGATTGGTCCTGACTCCAACCACCATCGTTTCATATTGTCTTCCATAACAAGCAGATCCTGAATCACATCATTTATTTGTAACCAAATGATTTATGATATAATAAAACATAGATTATGTATAATTGGTGGTATATTATACGCACTAGTGTAGGGAGGGTCGTAATAGACAGCTCTTCCTTGAGCAGCTTCAGCGATTGGAGCTAAGATTTGTGCAAACACTATCACCATTACGAAGGTTTTTACTATCATTTTTATCATTTTTTAAAATGGTTTTGTTTGCTGGTTTGTGAAGTAATGAAGCTAGGGAAGAGAGTATAAATATAATTTATATAGTTGAAGTCAAAGACTTGAAGAAAATAAAGAAAAGTCTTAGTCTACTTCAAGTCTTCCATTATTAATTGTATTGGTTTCATATGGGCCATTTTTTTCTTACTCCACCTAAAATTTCGGGTGTCTTAAATGAATTTGATGATGGATGAAGGAAAATTCCAAGGAGATGGAGAAAATTTGAAATTTTAAGTTCACCTTTTTGAATTTTAAAAAAGGTACAAAGAAATTTCCTAGAAACTAGAGAGGGTGTGAACTTTCAAGTTCATATGTGAAATTTCTCAAATTTTTGTTTTGTTTGGCAAAGTTTATGATATTTGTAAGTCACAAGCGGTTCTAAGCAACTCATTCCATGTCTAGAGACTTTATGTATTGCGTTTTCACATTTGATACTAAATATTCAAAATATATAAGAAAATTAACATTGAATTTTTAGGTTCGCAGATTCATCTGTAAATGAGGAACCACCTTTTATATGTTTGCTAGTAGTTATGTAATTTACCAAAGGGAATGAAAATAATAGTATACATAATACTTCTACTTAGGTTAACTTGTACTTACATGTAGTTTTGAAATGAATTTTTTTTTTAGATTAGTTAGTTTGTTCAGATAAAACCTATTAAATAAGTCAAACGAGGTACGAATACGATGACAGTTTGTAACTTACAAAAGAGACAAATAAACTTACAAAAGAGACAAATATTCTTTTGGCATTTCAACTAAACTTACCACTAGTCTACTATATACTGAATTTGAACGAGGATTCTGCTAAATGGGCTGAACAGGCCCAAAGCTATGCCAACTTTTACCGGAAGATGACGCAACGAATCGGACAAACAAATAATGCAGCCTTCAGAGTCAGTAAGAGTCGTCTGATTAGTGTCGTTGAGAGAGCGAGTGCTCTTACCGAGATGGTTGTTTCTGTCGGCTCGTCGCAATCTCTTTTGCCTATTGACACCAAAAATGACCTCACAAAACTAAAGATTCATTTCAATTTACAAGTTATATAACTATTTTATTTAATTCATTATCTCATATATTTTCAAAGTTACTTTCGCATTTTCCTCTTTTTAGTTATTTTTACAATTATTTTTTTTCGTTTGATTTTGGTATTGTGTTTTTCTTTACCAACTAGAATATATGTTTTTTTTTAACACTGATTTATTAATCTATTGCAAATTATAAGAACTGTTACATCGACAATTCTACAACGGTCAACTCTATCATTTTATGAAGATCTACGACTAATGGCTCTACCTGCATCCTGCACCATCATATGAAGATCTACGTCTGACGAATCTGCTTGCACCACGCTGAAGATTTTTTGTAAGTTTGTCTCCATTAATTTGCATTATTCTTCATTAATCTGTGCATAATTAAGAATAAATTATGCTTTATGGGATTTGAAAACTAAACTTTCTGGTGTAGAAGCATTAATAAACTCTTATTTCCTCTGTTTCAAAATAAGTGTCATTTTAACACGTTTCACACAAAGTAAGAAAAATATTAAAAGTTCTGTTTTACTCTTTGTTCACACACAAAATAATATTCTCTTTCTAACTAATATATTAATATAACAAGGTTAAAACATGATTTTTGTTTAAAAAATTATATTGAAAATATAAAACAATATTTTTTGTGAAACAAAAATAAAACTTTAAAACGATATTTATTTTGAAACGGAGAGAGTATTAAACAATTGGACTAATGGAGAGTATATAATTTTAATTCACACATTTAATATAAGGAATGTAATGCTAAAAATTTGTTTTTGAAAAGAAGTGCAGATGACACGGATTCGTCAAAAAGTCGGTAACAAATCTATGTTTAGATAGTAGCGGTTCATAGGCATTCAAGTACGAATATTATTTTGGAAACTAAATCGAATTTCGAATATTCCATCTTTTTCATACTATATGGTCCTCGAAAGTTATATAAATATCTTGCTTTTCCTCCAAGATAATATTTAAAATTATTGGATGAGAAGATATTTATTAACAAGAAAATCCTTATATTATTATATTAGTTCAATACACATCTGTTATTAAATTTCAGAGATGGAGCCAAAAAAAACATACAGTATTATAAAAGTCTTTTAGCACTCTGTCACATGATCCAAAGCCAAAAAGGTAAAATAAAAGTCACTCATCACATACCTTTTTAACCAAACGTTTGTAATAATTACCATTTTCATTTATCAAATTCGCAAACTTTCAGAGTTTTTCTGAATTCTGTTTGATTGCGTCATAGTCCTCTTTAGAAAATACCTCTGATTTTAGATTTTCAGTTCACAAAAAAATATCAAAATCATTCCTTTATAGCTTTTCAAATTGGATTCTGGTTAAAAATCTCAAAACTTAAAGACAGAGAGAAAGAGAAAGCGGCCAAAAAGAGGAGTTTTTTTTTTAGTTTTGCGATGCCTCCGACCAATGATAACCGACTCTCCGGCGAGTCACCGTCGACCTCACTGTCGCATTCTCCGCCATCGCCAAAGCCGAAAACAAGGATTCTCTCTATATTCCTCGTAGGTGTTATCATGATTTCAATCTTCTTTCTCTTCCTTCTCCTTCTCGGCATCGCCTCTGTTCTTCTTCTCCCTCTCCTTATCTCTTCTCTCCATCGCCACCTTCGACGTCGCCGTCGTAACCGCCGTCACGAATCCTCAGATGGGTTATCTTCCAGATTCGTGAAAAAGCTTCCCCAATTCAAAATTTCCGAATCAACCACACGGTACGGAAGCGATTGCGTGGTTTGCTTTGATGGATTCAGACAGGGACAATGGTGTCGGAATCTTCCCGGTTGTGGACACGTGTTCCATCGGAAGTGTGTGGATACTTGGTTGCTCAAATCCCCGACTTGCCCAATTTGCAGAGCTAGGGTTAGATTGAGAGAGGAAGATGCACAACAAGGAGAATTGTGGAGATGTTTTGGTCACAGAAGTAGAAGAAGTAGTTTGCTAGATTTGTAAGTGCTCTGCTTTTTGTTTCAATTATAATTTGAATTAGAAGTTATAAATGTATAATCATAATTACCAATTTGCAAGTTCCTATAACGATGTCTGAAACTTTTTTTTTTCTGTTTATGCTTAGTTGAATTTGTTAAGGATTCAACATTACAATTGATGACTTGTTCTTGATGACTTGTTCTTCATTGGTTTATAGATTCCTTAAGGTCTCTAGTAAAATGTAAATAGATGTAGACGTTTCGTTTTTTAACACGGTGCTAATGAGTTATCTTGACCGTTTCAACACGAATTGCTGAACATGTTGTTACTCTCTTGTTTTCTCTCTTTAACATCTTATGTCGCGATCATGAAGTCATCGTTTAGACTTTTCATCCATGTGTTATGCTTTGGTTTCTTGACCTTGAATTTGTCTAAGTTCTTGGTTTTGTTTGTTTTGATTTTGTATTAGGTGATATACTTTGTGGTTCTGTAGACTTGGAATCAGTCAAATGGATGAGAAGAAACTCCATAACTGAAGCTACAAGCCAAAGGACCTTTCCTTCATAGAATAGTATTAGGTCAAGTCTTATGGTTAGTATAGTATATAAGCAGATGGGTATGATCTTATAAACCCTCATCATCTTTTCCAAAATCAATATCAAAGAGCTTATCAAATTGTTTTTTTTTTCCTTTTTTGCTTTAGCCTGCAACCGATGGATCGGTTCTTGATTGTTCTAAAGGAGTTTGTGGATATCTTAAACGAATCCCGCAAACTCTTTCTCAAGAACAAAAAGTTGATGTTCTCTGTCTTTGTATTCCCTCTCTTGCTCCATGGCTTAGTTTACTTGATCAACGTCTTTGCCATCAAACCCGAGATAACAAACTTTGTCCATGAAGCAAGCGTGTTACCCATGATAGATCCAAGCAGCCCCGAGTACATAGCTCAGCTTATGAGAGTCTTTGAAGATTTTCGCCAACTTGTCGCTTCTTCATACATTTTCTACACAGTCTCCTTCATCATCGACCTCTTGTCCCTTCTAGTCATCGTCCACGCATCGGCTATTACTCAAAAAGACGAGAACATCAAGATCAGAGATTTTCCGGTTCTTAGCCTTAAATCTTGGAAGGGACCTCTTGTGACCTACTTCTACATTTTCCTCTTCAGTCTTGGATATTGGTTCCTCTTCTTTATAATGCTTTTTCCTCTCCTTTTGTTCTCCACAAGAATTACAAGTATGTATTCCTTGGCAGCCAAGTTTGGCGCTTTATGGATTGTGTTTGTGCTCTTTCAGTCCTATCTAGCTATCGTTTGGTTCCTATCTTTGGTCATATCGATACTTGAGGAAACTTATGGGATCCAAGGTTTGGGGAAAGCGGCAAAGATTGTTAAAGGGATGAAACCGAAACTGTTCCTCGTGAATCTTTTCTTGAGTTTATTGTCCTTCGGTTTAGCTCAGATGGTGAGGCTTGTCGATTTGAGAAGCTCGTTTGCTCTTAGCTTAACCATGAGTTTGGTCCTTGTGACATCGATCTTCGCAGTGAGGATGTTTCAGTTTGTGACTTACACTGTTGCATATTACCAATGTAAGAGCCTCCAAGGCATAGACGTTGAGTCGCTGAGGGATGTGGAATATACGAAACTATCTTCCACTGCTCCAATAATGGTATAGTATAGTCTCATTTATGGATTGTTTTGTTTGTTTTGGGATTTGGTAAATTGTTATGAATAATCGAAGGTTTGGTTGAATATTTCTATCAACATATTTTTGCTTCTTTTTTCTTTTTACTGTAAAATGTCATATGTGACGAGTATATGTATAATGCATCCATTTCGATCTAAATGACAACGACTAGATTACAAATCATTTTTTTTTTATAATTTAGCTAATAGATCAAACCAAATAATACACAGAACAAATCATAATTATGTCATTAGTTGATGTTTTTTGTTGACAGGGCTTCGGCGTCACTTTCTGACTTCTGAGGACAAGACTCAAAATGTCCGAAACCTTTCTCTAATTTTCTTTTAAAATGTCCAGTTTTCAAGATGGTTCTTGTAACTCTAATTGAATAACCAAACATAAATCCAAAATCTAAAAGCAAAGTCAATAAGAAGAAGAGTAAGATAAAGAGAACAAGTGTGCCAGGTAAAAAAGGAAGATGGAGAAAGTGTTAAAGACATTTTCATCTAAACCAATACAACATCCTGTTACTCGTTAAATTAACCTTTGTTGAAAATGAACCCACTTAACGTTATATCATATAATTTTCAATCCTTTTTAGGATTGAGCTTCAACATCCATAGCACTTTCCTTAATTAATTAGCTGGTTATCGGACAAATTGTCAGCCAAAACCCACAAACAATCGAGATTCTCATTTCATAAGTTGTATTTTAGTAAAGAAAAAAGATACTGCGAACTCAAAGGTTGCCTCGATAGCTTCTCAGCAGATAAAACAAATTAAATCAGCCATCGTCGATAACTTTTAGATGAGTTGGCCATCATAATCTAGACAAGTTAGTAAATACGTGATTATATGATACAGGACACGTGATCGGTTCAGATATTATGCGGGTTGAACGGCTAAGATTAAACGGAAGCAAACAGCTGATACACTTTTATAGTTTGAGGAGAAAGAAGGAAATGATTATCCCAAATTGTAACAAATTCTTTTTTTCGTCTTCTTGATTTTTCTGTAAAATCTTAAGGATTTTTTCTTCTTTTGGGTTTCTTAAACTGGGGGAATTCTTTGTTTGTATGAACATTGGATTTCATTGGAATAATAATCAAGTTTTATTTTGAGTGAATTTGTGAGATTTTGTGGAGAGTGATTACGGTATATTAAAGGTATCAGACGTCTTACGATTCTCGGAAACTATGGCGGTAGAAATGCGTTCCCAATCATCAAACAGCGCAGGCGACAATTCCCTGAACTCGCGACTCGATCAGATGATTTGCCGTAAAAAAACGTTGAAAACGCGAGTTTCAGAACAAAATGTGACGATCGCGAAGACAACAGCAGATCTCTTTGAGGCGATTCGACTGCTCACAGTGCAAAGATCTAATTCACCAGCCCCAGTCCAATCAAATCCGGTGAATGTCAACGAGCAAGACCAAAACTTCGGATCCGGTAACCCTATGAACTATAACGGAATCACTAGGCTAGCTAAACTTGATTTCCCGAGGTTTAATGGCGCTAGGTTGAAGGATTGGTTGTTTAAACTAGAACAATTTTTTACAATAGATCGAACACCGGATGATCTTAAAATCTCTATAGCATCGATTCATCTCGATGACATTGCGGCAACATGGCACCAATCTCTGGTTCAGGATGAGAGCGGATATTTGAATTTGCAGGATTAGAACAGTTATAAGCTGTTGCTCACAGAGAGATTTGATGATGTGTGGGATGATCTTATTGCGGAGTTGAAGAAGTTAAGGGAAACTGAGGGTATTGTGGACTATCACAATAAGTTTGAGTTGATTCGTACTCGAGTGAATCTATCGGAAGCCTACTTGGTCAGCAATTATTTGGCAGGACTACCCACAGATACTCAGATGCATGTTCGCATGTTCCCGCCTCAAACTGTTCGACAATATCTCATGTTGGGAAGGCTTTATGAAACAGCACATCCTCCAAAAAACTCTGGTTCTGCATGGTCGACTGCTAAAGGTTCACAAGGAAGTAAAGGGCTTTTAGCTACTCCAAAGGAGATTGACAATAAGTGGAGACCACAACCTGTAACTGAGAAAGTCACAGTGCAAGGGAATCAACCAAAGGTCATTCTTTCTTCATAAGAGATGAATGATCGAAGATCTAAGGGATTATGCTACTACTGTGATGAAAAATACATGCCAGGCCATTACAAAGTTCATAAGAAAACTCAGCTCTATATGTTGGAGTTATATGAGAACACAGAATCTGACGTTTTAGCTGAAGGTGATGACCAACTTGAGACCGATGGTGAAATAGCACAAATTTCACCCAGTACTCTATCTGGTATCCAAGATTTCAACACGATGAAAGTGAAAAGGGTCCATAAGAAGAAGTCCTTGTTTATTCTGGTTGACTCAGGTTCGACTCATAACTTTTTGGATACTGAAATAGCTAAGAAGTTGGGTTGCAAACTTCGCTCTAGAGACAATGCTAGAGTTCGTGTAGCAGATGGGTATAGACTGGATGTGAAAGCTAAAGTGGACCAGTTTCAGTGGGATTTTCAGGGCACTGGATTTACAGAAGATTTTATGGTGATACCATTGAAAGGGTGTGACATAGTTTTGGGGGTTCAGTGGCTACATAAACTCGGGTTTATAACGTGGGATTTTAAAAATCTAAAGATGAAGTTCTGGTGGGGAAGTCGAAAAGTGGCTCTTCACGGTATTCATCAGGGCTCGGTGCGGGCAGTTAAAGCCGAGAAACTTAATAAATGCGAGGATGATGCCATTCAGTTATCAATGCTCTGTGTTAGTCAAGATGATCAGGTGGATTTGACTACTTGCTTTGCAGTCGAGGCAGTTGAGAACGAGAAGTTACAACTACCCGTGGTGAAAGAGTTACTAGAAAAGTTTGAAGATATTTTTGAGGAGCCAAAGACGTTACCTCCATTTCGCAGTAACCACGACCATAAGATTCAGTTAATGGAAGGTGCGAATCCTATAAACCAAAGACCATACTGTTATGCAGTCTACCAGAAGAATGAAATTGATAAGATGGTCAACGAAATGTTGAATAGTGGAACGATCCAACAAAGTTCAAGCTCTTTTGCGTCCCCTGTGGTTCTGGTCAAGAAAAAAGACGGCACTTGGCGCTTATGTGTGGATTACAGAGGTTTAAATGGCTTAACAGTGAAAGACCGTTTTCCTATTCCACTGATTGAAGATTTGATGGATGAGCTAGGAGGCTCTAGTGTTTATTCAAAGATAGATTTGAGAGCAGGGTATCACCAAGTCAGGATGAGTCCTCAGGATATTCATAAGACAGCTTTCAAAACTCATATTGGTCATTATGAATATCTCGTGATGCCCTTCGGTTTGACAAACGCTCCTGCAACCTTCCAAGGTTTGATGAATGCAACATTTAAAGAATTCTTGAGGAAGTTTTTTTTGATCTTCTTATGATATTTTGATATACAACAGCTCCATCGAGTTACACTTACAACATGTACATAAGGTTTTTGAGATAATGAGGAGTCAGAAACTGTATGCAAAATGGAGCAAATGTGCTTTTGCTACATCTCAAGTGGAGTATTTGGGCCACTTCATTGAAGAAGCTGGCATATCTACGAATCCAAATAAAATTGCTGCAGTTGCCGATTGGCCGATCCCTACAAATTTGAAACAGTTGAGAGGGTTTCTGGGATTAGCCGGTTACTATAGGCGCTTTATGGAGAATTTTGGCAGTATAGCAAGACCTCTCACTCTTCTTACAAAGAAGGACTCATTTAATTGGTCCATAGAATCCAAAAACGCCGTTGATGAATTGAAGAAATCTTTATGTTCAGCTCTGATGCTTGCACTTCTGTTGTTTGATAGGCCATTCATTGTTGAAACAGATGCATAAGGACGGGGTATTGGGGCAGTTCTCATGCAAGATGGACATCCGTTAGCCTATATAAGCCGTTATTTGAAAGGGAAGCAACTCAGTCTCTCTATTTATGAGAAAGAGCTATTGGCGGTTGTGTTTGCAGTACAGAAATGGCATCACTACTTGTTGATTGGACATTTTATCATTAAAATGGATCAAAGAAGCCTGAAGTATTTGTTGGAGCAAAGGCTTAATACACCGATACAACAACAATGGTTGCCGAAACTGTTGGAGTTTGATTATGAGATTCAGTAGAAGGAAGGGAAAGAGAATCTAGCAGCTGATGCTTTATCTCAGGTTGAAGGAGCTGAAGTGTTACATATGGCTCTCTCTGTATCAAATTGTGATTTGCTACAACAGATTCAAGAGTGCTATACAACAGATGATACTACTCGAGCACTGATCGAGGAGTTAAAGGCTAAACCAGGCTCTCACAAACATTTCACTTGGTCAAGGGACATTCTACGCAGGAAGAGTAAGATTGTCGTCCCTGCAAGTAGTGATTTGCGTAAAAGTATATTGGAATGGCTTCACAGTTCAGGTGTGAGTGGGCATTCAGGACGTGATGCTATGCTACAACGAGTTAAAGTTATATTCTATTGGACATGCGTGGCCAAGGACATACAAAATTACATACGGGATTGCTCTGTTTGTCAACAATGCATATATGATATTTCTGCTTCGCCGGGTCTGATACAGCCATTACCTATTCCTACAGCAGTCTGGACAGATATCTCAGTGGATTTTATTGATGGCTTACCACTTTCATTTGGAAAACCAGTCATATTAGTGGTGGTGGATCGAGTAACAAAGGCGGCTTACTTTGTTGCATTTAGTCATCCCTACACGGCTGCAATAGTAGCTCAAGCTTTTCTGGACAATGTTTTCAAGCATCATGGTCTTCCGAGTTCCATTGTCAGTGACATAGATGCTGTCTTTCTGAGTGAGTTTTGGCGTGAACTCTTCACACTTCAAGGCGTTGCTCTTAACTATTCTAGAGCCTATCACCCACAAAGTGACTGCCAAACAAAGGTGGTTAATAGATTTCTCGAGACTTACATGCGTTGTATGTGCAGTGATAGACTATTTCTCTGGAGTAAATGGTTTCCCTTAGCCGAATTCTGGTACAATACCACGTTTCATTCTTCGGCACAAATGAGCCCTTACTAAGCTGTTTATGTGCAACCACCGCCACAATATCTTCCTTATCTTCCTAGTGAGAGCAAAGTTGCTGTTGTTGCTAAGAGTTTACAGGAGAGAGAGAATATGTTGTTAATCCTGAAGTTTCACCTCCTAAGAGCTCAACACCGAATGGAGCAAACGGCATATAGGAGATGTTCATAGCGAAGCTTTCAGATTGGTGATTGGGTTTCTGTCAAACTGCAACCTTATCGCCAAGGATCAGTGGTTTTGCGGACTAATTAGAAGCTAACACCTAAGTATTTTGGCCCGTATAAAGTCTTGGATAAATGTGGACAGGTAGCTTACAAGTTAGCACTACCAGAAACAAGCAGATACATCATGTGTTTCACGTGTCACAACTCAAGTTATGGGTCGGGGATGTTTCTGTGAACATTGCATTACCGGTGGCTGTTGCCGATGTGTTAGACAGAGAGCCAGAACGAGTGTTGGAAAAAAAAATGGTGCAGTGACATCACAAGCCTGCGACGATGGTTTTGGTTAAGTGGTGTAATGAGGATGACAGTGAGGCTACATGGGAGTATCTCTATGAGTTGCTGCAACGTTTTTCATCGTTCAACCATGAGGACACGGTTGCTTGAAGGGGGAGGATTTGATACAGGACACGTGGTCGGTTCAGATGTTATACGGGTTGAATAGTTAGGATTAAATGGAGGCAAACAGCTGATACACTTTTATAGCCCGAGGAGAGAGAAGGAGAGGATTATCCGAAATTGTAACAAACTCTTTTGTTCGTCTTCTTGATTTCTCTGTAAAATCTTAAGGATCTTTTCTTCTTTTAAAATTCTTAAACTGCGGGAAATTCTTTGTTTGTATGAATATTAGATTTTATTGGAATAATAATGGAGTTTCATTTTAAGTGAATTTATGAGATTTTGTTGAAAGTGATTACGGTGTATCATTATATTATACAAGTCTGTCGTTTTATTTAAGAATTGAATCTAAATCATATAGGACTTGTACGAGATTTACACGCATATGCATAGGAAACAATGGTGAAATTTCCATTGATAAATATCAACTTAAAATATTTAATGCATTCGAATATACGTTTGTTCATTGGCCATTTGTAGACTTGTGATATGGCGTGGGACTGAGAGCAAGCAAAAAATGAGTTTGTTGTTTTTGACCTGTATTTACCACATAGGGAAGTCGCCATCATAACTACATGATTATGTAGCCAATCATATATTCAAAATAAATTGGCTAATCGAAAAAGTCAAAAAAAAATTAAAGTTTTTTTGGAAAGAATGCATGTCGTTATATTTAATAATTGAATCTAAATCATATAGGATTTATACGAGATTCACACGCATATGCATAGAAAGCAATGATAATTTTTTTATTGATAAATATCAACTTAAGAGATTTATTGAATACTCTCCATAGAAGTTGTTTGATGCATTTGAATGATCATGAAGTTAAAGGAAAAACCATGCTTGCTCTCATGGCTCAAAAGGAAAATCGAGGAATTTTTGAATCTTTCCTTTTTGTTTTATTGCTTTGTAGTCAAAGATGGTGGTGAGATTCCAATTTATTCAAGAAACATCGTAGAGATGTCTAAAGGTGCATTCCAGTACTCTGCTTTTTGCCTCAACTGTAATTTTTCTTTTTCTTTTTTGAAACTGTAATTGCAAGGTTCTTTTAAACAGTGTTTAAAGCATTGTTTTTTTTTATGAATGGTCAAATAGTATAATATGATGGGTTAATTTATCTCTTATTGCTAATTTTGATAAGGATATAATTGATGGATGACTTATTCTTGATGACTCGTTCCTTTGAGTTGGTTTATATAAGCCTTAAGGTCTCTAATAAGATGTATATAAGATGTAGACGTTTCGTTTATCTCTAAGAAGCCAACATATTTATTTAAGACTTTTCTTCGATGTGTTATGCTTTCGGTTTCTTGACCTTTGAATCTTTCTAAGTCTTGATTTTTTTAGTTTGTGGTTTCGTGGACTTGGACTCAGTCAAAATGGATGAGAAGAAACTCCATAACTGAAGCTATCTCATAGGCACAAGCCAAAGATCTTTCCTCCATAGAAAATTAGCAAGTCAATCACTCAGTTTTATGGTTAGTAGTGTATAAAAGCAGATCTTACAAACCCTCACCATCATTTCCAAAACCAATAATACCAAAGAGCTTTGCAATCGTTTTTAATTTCCCTCTTGCAACAGATGGGTTTATCTTCGTTCTTGAATGTTCTAAAGGAGGTTGCGAGTATCTTAAACGAATCCCGAAAACTCTCTCTCAAGAACAAGAAGTTGATGTTCTCAGTGTTGCTACTTCCTTTCTTGCTCAATGTTTTAGTTTACTTGTTCAACGTCTTCGTCATCACACCCGAGATAACAAACTTGATCCTTGAATCAAGTCTGTTACCCACAGACCCAAACAGCCCGGACTTCATAGCCCATCTTATGAGATTACTTGAAGATTTTCGCCAGTTTGTCGTTTCTTCATTCCTTTTATCCACTTCCTCTTTCATCATCAACCTCGTATCCGTTATAGTCGTAGTACACGCATCAGCTCTTGCTCATAAAGATGAAAACATCAAGATCAAAGATTTTCTTGTTCTAAGCCTTAAATCTTGGAAAGGACCTCTTGTGACCAATTTCTACATTTTCCTCTTCGGTCTTGGATGTTATTTCCTCTTCTTTATAATCTTTTTTCCGATTCTTTTGTTCTCTTCTACAAGAATATCTAGTTTGTATTTCTTGGTAGCCAAGACTGGCGCTTTGTTGATTCTATTCGCAGTGTTTGAGTTATATTTAGCTATCGTTTGGAACCTATCTTTGGTCATATCGACACTCGAGGAAACTTATGGGGTCCAAGCTTTGGGGAAAGCGGCAAAGATTGTTAAAGGGATGAAACCGAAACTGTTCCTCGTGAATCTTTTCTTGGGTTTGTTGTGCTTCGGTTTAGCTGGAATCGCGAAGCTGGTTGGTTCGACAAGTTCGTTCGTGCTTACCTTAACCACCGGTTTGGTCCTTGTGAGCTTGACCTTCGCAGTGAGGATGTTTCTGTTTGTGACTTACACCATTGCATATTTCCAATGTAAGAGCCTCCAAGGCAAAGACGTTGAGTCGCTCATGGATGTGGAGTATGCGAGATTACTGTCCACTACGCATTAGGATCATTGCATTGATGCTTCAAGAGAAGGTCATATAATGGTGTCTCGTTAATGGATTGTTTGTTTGTGTTGGGACTTGGGATTTGGTAAATGAATATGAATAATCAAAGGTTTGGTTGAATATCTATCAAGAATTTTTGCTTCTTTTTGTGCCGTATATTACAAGTATCAATTTCGATCATAATGACAAAACCACTACGAATCATTTTTAAAAAAAATATATAGAACAAATACGTACACATACAACAAATCACACATGTCTTTTAATTGATGTTTTTTTTCTTTACTTGCTGGGACTTACAATTTAACAAAATTTTGTTTTTCCTAAAGTTTTAAGGAATCTACTTTTTAAAAAATCTCCGTATGACAAAAAATCACTTCAAAAACTATAAACAATTAAAACTCCAAAAAATCTCCGTACGGCTAAATTCCTTTTTGTAATGACGGATAAGCCCAATGGGTCTTAATTGGTAAAGGTCTATAATAATATCAGATGTAGACGTTGCGTGTTTTACACGGTGCTAAATTGTTTCTTGACCGTTCAACACTAATTACTGAAGCGAGTGTTGAACTGTTGATCACGTTCACGTACATTTTATAAGGAAGGCCACTTACAATGTTAAACATGTTACGTCTTGTTTTCTCTCTTTAACGTACGTTTCCAGTTCGCAAATTCGGTTTCTTGACCTTGAATTTGCCAAGTCTTGATTTGGTATCTTTGTGGTTCTGTGAATTTGGACTCAGTCAAGCTACTCCATAGTACAAGCTAAAGAATCTTTAATCCATAGAAAAGTAGCAAGTCAATCGATCAGTCTTATGGTTAGTAGTATATAAGAAGATGGGTATATGATCTTATAAACCATCACCATCATTTCCAAAACCAATATCAAAGAGCTTTGCAATTTTTTTGGTTTTTTTTTTCTCTCTTGTAAACCGATGGAGAGGTTTTCGTTCTGGGATGTTCTAAAGGAGGTTGTGGGTATCTTAAATGAATCCCGCAAACTCACTCTCAAGAACAAGAAGTTGATGTTCTCAGTCTTGGTACTCCCTCTCTTGCTCAATGGCTTAGTTTACTTGTTTGACGTATTTGTCATCAAACCCGAGATAACAAACTTGATCAATGAATCAAGTCTGTTACCCACAGATCTAAACAGCCCGGAGTACATACCCCATCGTATGAGATTCCTCGCAGATTTTCGCCACTTTTTCGTTTCTTCATGCATCTTCTTCATCGTTTCTTTCATCACCAACCTCTTATCCGTTCTTGTCCTAGTCCACGCATCAGCTCTTACTCATAAAGATGAAAACATCAAGATCAAAGAGTTTCCTGTTCTGACCCTTAAATCTTGGAAGGGACCTCTTGTGACCAATTTCTACATTTTCCTATTCATTCTTTGCTATTGGTTCCTCTTCTCTATGATCCTTTTCACTCTCATTTTCTTCTCTACAAAATTATATTTCTTGGTAGCCAAGTCTGGCGCTCTATGGATTCTATTCGCAGTGTTTGAGTGCTATTTAGCCATCGTTTGGTACCTATCTTTGGTCATATCGACACTTGAGGAAACTTATGGGTTCCAAGCTTTGAGGAAAGCGGCAAAGATTGTTAAAGGGACGAAACAGAAACTATTCCTCTTGAATCTTTTTTTCGGTATATTGTCCTTCGGTTTAGCTCAAATCATGACGCTGGTTGATTTGAGACGTTCGTTCGTTCTTACCTTAACCACCGGTTTGGTCCATGTGAGTTTGACCTTCGCGGTGTGGATGTTTCAGCTTGTGACTTACACCGTTGCATATTTTCAATGTAAGAGCCTCCAAAGCAAAGACGTTGAGTCGCTCAGGGATGTGGCATATACGAGATTACCGTCCACTACGGTTACAGGATCATTTCCTTGATACCTTCAAGAGAACGTAAGTGTAGAGTTTAAAACATATGGTATAGTCTCATTAATGGATTGTTTGTTTGTTTTGGGATTTTGGATTTGAGATTTGGCTATCATCAATAATAAATAATCAAAGGTTTGATAACTTTGGTTAAATATCAAGATTTTTTTTCCTTCTTATTTTATAACGTAGAATGTGTTGTAAGAAAATGTATTGTGTATATTCTCATCATATATTAAAACTGTTTACATTAAGAAAACAATCATCTTTTTTTCTTGCAATAGAATATATGGCCAACAATATTTTACTTTCGTCAAATCTCTTTGAATCTTAACTAAGCATATGCTGAAAATCTTGTTATCAGTATGATGAATGCAAACATCTTACCAGTATTTGCAGCTATTATGTTGCAAATTGCATCACCTTTCAAGCTGATGCTTAGGTTTCTCGTGAAAAAAAAAAAAAAAAAAACAACTTGTCTAGCAAATCAAAATTCATAACTAGTTCCAAATTCCACATGTAGTTGATTGTTTTAAATTATACATGTACGTTTTATGTGATAACAGAATTTTAAAAGTTGTTTCCAAAGTTTCACTAAAGTTTCCTAAGAACAAAGTATAGAACAATTCTTCTTATTATGCTTAGAAAATAGCTCAAAACTAAACACAAACTTTGCTCTCTTCTCACACTTCTATCACAGCTCGACATTGGTATATTTATAGGCTTAACACATCTTTGCTAATCCTATTCTCAATAGAAATAGATAACTCCTAAAACTATCAAGATTATGACACTTATCATAAACCAACTTGTTATAGGCTTCTTAGGTTGCAGGTCTTCAAAGCTTATCCAACATTCTTCCTCTTAAGTTTTGTTGACTCTATTTTAGACATGTCTTGAACACCTATCAAGCTTCTCATTTCTGAAAACTTGATCCGCGCTAATGCCTTTGTTAATATATCCGTTTTCTGCTCGGTTTCGAGTACATGTTCCACATCAACAAGCTCCCTTTCAATACATTCCCGAATGAAGTGATAACGCTTGTGAATGTGTTTACTCTTCCCATGGAACACCGGATTTCTGGTGAGTGCAATTGCAGACATATTGTCGATCCTGATGAGCACTTGTTCCGCCTTCCTCCCTGTAATCTCGCTTAGAAGATCCTGAAGCCATATGGCTTGTCTCGCTGCTTCCGTCGCGGCCATGAACTCGGCTTCACAAGAGGAAAGAGCGACTGTGTCCTGTTTTTGAGAACACCATGTAATTGGTGATAGTCCGAAGTAGAAGATATGACCCGTTGTACTCCTTCTGTCATCTTGGTCAATGTTATGACTACTATCGCTAAAGCCAACAAGTTTCTTTGAACCTCCACGCTGAAACTTCAAACCGTAACTCATCGTTCCCTTAAGGTATCGTAAGATGTGCTTCATTGCTTCACCATGTGACTTCCGAGGGCTTTGCATATATCTGCTTGCGACTCCAACAGAGTATGCTAAGTCCGGTCGTGTGTGTAGCAAGTACCGTAGACAGCCTACGTTCCGTCTATAGCTCGTGGGAGCTATTTCTTCTTCTTCGAGTGCTTTAGAGAACTTTAATCCAAACTCCATGGGTACTTGCATCGGATTAAAATTCTCTAAGCCAGCTTCTTTTAAGATCCGTCGAGCATAACCTTCTTGTTTAATCTCTATTCTGTATTCTCCTTGATACACTTCAATACCAAGGTAGTAGGTGAGCTTTCCGATATCCGACATCTCAAAGGTAGTTGACATTCCTTTTTTGAACTCGTCAATCGCCTTGAGAGAGTTACCAGTCACGAATAAGTCATCTACATAGATCGCAATAATGAGGAGACTCCCTCCTTTTTCTTTGCGATATACTGCACTTTCTTTTACACACTTCTTAAATCCCATATTCTTTAGGATTTGATCCAGCTTTGTATTCCAGGCACGAGGCGCTTGTCTTAATCCATACAGAGCCTTCGATAGCTTATATACCTTGTGTTCTGCTCCTTTTATCTCAAAGCCTTCGGGTTGCTCTACGTAAACGTCTTCTTTTAACTCTCCACGTAAGAATGCGGTTTTCACATCCAGGTGATGAATTTTCCATCCTTCTGAAGCTGCCAATCCAATCAACAAACGAATAGTCTCAATATGTGCAACTGGTGCGAATACTTCGTCGAAGTCCACGCCTGATTCTTGTACGTATCCCTTTGCTACAAGTCTCGCTTTATGTTTGTTGATGGTGTTGTCCGTGTTTTTCTTGAGTTTAAAGACCCACTTGAGACCAATCACCTTCATAGATCCCGTTCTTTCAACTAAAAACCAGGTTCTGTTTTTGTTGATTGATTCGATCTCATCTTTGCAATCTAGTCTCCATTGTAATGAACCATTTGCTTCCTTGAAACAGCTTGGTTCGTCGTTTATTAGAAGCAAAAGTCGCTCACATTCCACGGAGGCTTGAAGAGTGTAATCTTCGCCGAGGTAACAGACGTAGTTTCCAAGGTATCCTGGCAAATTTGATTCGCGAGTAGACCTCCTTAGAGGTTGCTGCTGCTGTTGATGCTGTTGCTGTATCGGCTGTTCATGAGCATCTTCGTCTTCGTTTGTATTGTCATCTCCTCCGTGATCACTTAAGTCTTCGTTTCCTTCCTCATAGTGATCATTCCCGACAATAGTAGGACCATCTCCGGTGTCTACAATATCTCCCCACCTCAAGTGAAACATTCCAGGATCTCTGTTTGATCCTTATTTATTTTCACTCCAGTTCCAGCTTGACTTCTCATCAAAAATCACGTCGCGGCTTACTACAATCTTCTTCTGCGATGGATTGTACAGCCTATACGCCTTGGTTCCCGGTTCTAAACCAAGATGTACTAGTGGTCTTGATCTGTCATCGAGTTTTTTGAGGTTTGTAGTCTCTATCTTAGCATAAGCTAAACATCCGAATACCCTTAGATATTCAAGGTGTGGTTTCTTGTTCCTCAAGCATTCATATGGTGTCATGTTTGTGAGGGCTCGTGTTGGTACTCTATTGATTATATGTGTAGCGTGTCGCACAGCTTCTCCCCATAGATAGTTCGGTACTTTCATCGCTTTGAGAGTGCTCCTTGTCATCTCCAACAGAGTCCGATTTCTTCTCTCCACCACTCTGTTTTGCTGAGGTGTGTAAGGCGCCGTGAGATGTCTCTTAATCCCACTTAAATTACAGAATTCATTGAATTCTTCAGAGGTAAACTCTCCTCCTCTGTCCGTTCTTAGAGTTACAACCGTCTTCCCGAGGTCCCTCTCAACTAAGTTCTTAAACTCCTTGAACTTAGAAAACGCATCGCTCTTCTCTTTAATCAAAATAGACCACATGTATCTTGAATAATCGTCTATGATAACAAATATATATCTGTTATTTGCGATGGTTGGTGGTGTGATAGGGCCGCACAAGTCTGCGAGTAGTAGCTCCAAGGGTTTTGAAGCTCGATAAGTTGTTGCAGACGGAAACGATTGTCGTGTCTGTTTACCAACCAAACAGGATTCGCAAACTCTGTTTTCTTCTTTAAACTCTGGCAATCCGTAAACCATCTGCATTGTTGACATAGCTTTCATGATCTTAAAGCTCATATGTCCTAACCTCGCATGCCACCTCCAGGATTCTTCAGCTATACTCGTCTTTAAACATATTGGTCTCCCAATCTTGAGATTTATCTTGTATAGTCTGTTTGCTGACCTTGTGACTTTTACGAGGAGTTTTCCGTTTAGATCGTAAACTGTTAGGAAGTTCTGTCTCATTCTGACATCACACCCGATCTCCGTAGCTTATCCTAAACTTAGGATGTTGCTCTTAAGTGCCGGAATGTAGTATATATCTGACACCAGCTTCTGTTCTTGTGTCTTACTTTGAAATAATATAGACCCCTTCCCTCCTATTTCGATGCACGATCCATCTCCAAACTTGACTTTTCCCTTTATATTCTCGTTTAGTTCCGAGAAATACTCTTTACGGCCGGTCATGTGATTGCTCGCTCCATTATCGAGATACCAAAGTCCTTCTTCTCTTTTATTGTTGCTGTAGTTATTTGGTATGATTCTCTCTTCGTTTAAGAACACGAGTTCGTGCAGGTATAAAGCTGCTTCTGCTTCGTTAGTCTCTACTTGATTCGCTTCCTGCAGTTTTCGTGGTCTTTCGGGACAAACAGAGGCGAAGTGACCAGCTTTATCACATCGATAACAGATCAACTTTGATCTGTCCTTCTTATCTTTTGTCTTCGTTTGATCTGATTGATGTGTTGAGCGATCTTGTGAGTTTCCTTGTCCTCTTCCTCATCCCCTGTTTCCTCTGCCATGACCTCTTCCTCTTGAAGACGACATGTTTCGCTCATCTGAGTTTGCATACAGCAGCTTATCTTGTGAATCTCCGAGGTTTTCTTCATCTATAATCCTCTCCTCGTAAGCTTTAAGTCTTCCGATTATGTCCTCAAAGTTCGTTGTATTTAGGTCTAGAACTTGTTCGAGAGAGGCTATGATGTGGATGTACTTTTTTCTCGGTAGGCTGTTGAGAAACTTTTTCACCACAATAGCTTCCTCGATTGTTTTTCCAAGAGAAGCCGCTTTTGTTGATAATTCTGATAACTTTCCAGCAAAGTTATCGATTGTATCTGAATCCTTCATCTTCATGCGGTCAAACTCTGACATAAGAGTCTGCAGGCGTGCTTCCTTTACACGGTCAGCTCCTAGATATCGGGTTTTAATCGCATTCCATATTTTTTTAGGAGACTCTTGTTCGCCGACTTGCATAATAAGTGCCTCCGGGATGGATTGAAACAATAGTGTGACTGCAACATCGTTCTTGTTGTTTTCATTCGTTCCGGGATCGATTGCTTCCCAGACTTTATGAATTCGCAACAATACCTTCATTTGCATCGCCCATACTGTGTAGTTCGTAGGTGTAAGCATAGGGCTTTGAATCGAGATCGTCTTCTCTTCCCTTGGTCGCGGAAGAAGAGGATTGTCTTCAGCCATCGC